AGAGGCAGTCTTTTGAACAGAACACAGAAACACTGACTGGTTTAAAATCAGGAAAAGTGTGAGCCTGGGTTGTGTTCTTTCACTATACTTATTCAACCTGTATATCGAGCAAATAATCTGAGAAGCTGAATTATATGAAGAAAAATGTAGCAATAGGATTGGAAGAAGATTTATTAACAACCTGCAACATGCAGATGATACAATCTTGCTTGCTAAAAGCCAAGAGGACTTAAAATACTTACTGATGAAGATCAAAGACCACAGACTTTGGGTTGCATCTCAGTGTAAAGAAAACAAAAATCCTCACTACTGGACCAATAAACAATATCCATATAAATGGAGAAAAGACTGAAGTTGTCAAAGACTTCATTTTACTCAGATCAACCATCAACATTCATGGAAGCAGCAGTCAAAAAATCAAACGATGTATTGCATCAGGCAAATCTACTGCACAAGACCTCTTTAAAGTGTTCAAAAGCAAAGACGTCAGCTAGAGGACTAAGGTGTTCCTGACCCAAGCCATGGTATTTTCAATAGCCTCCTCTGGGTGTAAAAGTTGGACAGTGAATAAAAAAGACTATAGAAAAAGTGATGTATTTGAGTTATGGTGGTGGAGGAGAATGTTAAAAATACCATGTACTGCCAAAAGAGCAAACTTATCTGTGCTGCACGAAGTACAGCCAGAATGCTCCTTAGAAACCAGGATGGCTAGACTTTGTCTCTCATACTTCGGACATATTATCAAGAGGGACCAGTCCCTGGAGAAAGACATCAGGTTTGGTAAAGTGGAGGGTTGTTGAAAAAGAGGAAGACCCCCAATGAGATGGACTGGCACAGTGACAACAGCAATGGACTGTTTTTGATTGTGAGGTTGGTGCAGGACTGAGCAGTGTTTTGTTCGGTTGTGCATAGGGTCGAGTACCAACTCGATGGCACCAAGCAGCAACAAACCTGTGAGGCGAGGGCTACCTAAAGCAATCAGAGGAACAGATGCAACTATGGGGAAGGCTTGGGGATAGCCTGGCAGAGTAGTCCCAGCCAGGGGGGCAGTAATCTCCAGTTGACTCCACGCTGTCCAGGCCCACCCGGAGAGCCCCAGTGAGCTCATGTCTGCAGTAACCTCCCTGCACATAACTAAGATGAGACAAACTTGGAAACGAGGCTCAACTGAGAAGTGATGGGTGTCTCCTCAGGAATGTGCTGCCCAATTAAAACTGCCTCCCTCGTGGCTCAAGCGGATGCTGGAACTACTTCCCCAAGCAGTGTTGGCTAGCCTCCCAGCTAGTCATCATTCTGTAATCATTTACTGGGGACCTACTAAGGAGTCCTGGTGTGGCGCTGTGGGTTAAGGAACCGCAAGGTCAGTGGTTTAAGCTCACCAGTTGCTCCTCCGAAACCCTATACAGGGTCGCTATGACAACATGGAGTCCTGGTGTGGCACTGTAGGATAAGCACTGGACTGTTAACCGCAAGGTTGGCAGTTTAAACCCACAAGTGGCTCCTTAGAAACCCTATACAGGTTAGCTATCTATACTAGGTAGCTATGAGTTGGAACTGACTTGACAGCAATTAACAACTATACACCAAAGGAGTCCTGGTGTGGCGCTGTGGGCTAATGCGTCAGACTGCAAAGCCGTTTGAACTGCAAGTTAGTGGTTCAAGTTCACCAGCTACTCCTTGGAAACCCTATAGAGGGGTCGCTATGGGTCGGAATAGACTTGAAGGCACTTAACAACAACAACAACAACAACAACAATGCACCAAAGGAGCCCTGGTAATATAGTAGATTATAAGCTGGGTTGCTAACCACAAGGTCAGTGGTTCAAATCTACCAGCCTTGGAAACCCTATAAAGGGTAGCTATGAGTCGGAACTAATTCAGTAGCAAATAACCACCACCACTACCACTATGCACTCCTTGGGTAATGCAAATGGTTTATGAGTTTAGCTGCTAACTGAAAGCTTAGAGTTTCAAGTCCACCCAGAGGCACCTTAGAAGAAAGGACTGGCGATCTATTTCTGAAAATTCTATGCAGCACAGTTCTACTTTGACACATCTGGAGTTGCTATGAGTCTGAATCAACTCGACAGCTGCATTTTTCATTGTTTATTTTGTTTGTTTTATGTTGCTACGTACCAGGAGTCATGCTGGATGCTGGGGTGACACGGAATGAAAGCCAAATTGAAGAGTATGTCCCCCACACACCTTTGGAGGAAAATTGCCAGAGAGTCTCAAAGGTTCTGCTGGTTACAGCCTTAGAGACCCTTTCCAATCTCACACTAGCCCTAAACTCTGCCTCTTCCTTACCATAGACCCCAATCCCTTATCCTGGTTTCTTCTCCTTTTCAAAATATCCATCACCCTTTTTCTTCTTCTGGTTCTGCTTTCTCATAAATTGGCATGGGGCAGGTGATTGCCTCCTCATTTTCCCTGCCCCTTGGAAGCCTGGACAATTTGCTGCAATAGCCATCCTTCATCAGGCCTCTGGCTCACTGCATCCATTCTGGCAGAGTCCTGGAGGCCACAGAGTAACAAAACGATGGGCTCTCAGCAGAGGTCATTCCCTGGGTCAATCCTCATGAGAAAGGTGCTCTGGAAACACAGACCTCAGATAGATAAGGGGCCTTCCCTCCCCTAGAACATGGGCTCTGAGGACTAAAGCTGGAAGAGGAAGGAAACTTGGTGTGTGGTTAAGAGGACACACTCTGCAGTTAGGCTGCTGGTGTTATAGTCTCCCCTCTTACTAGCTTTGTGTTTGCATCTTTTAGGATGGTATCATGATTTCCACTTATGGCACTCCATGTGTCTCAGAGTAGAACTGTGCTCCATAGAGTTTTTAAAGGATGCTTTTTTTGGAAGTACATTCCAGGCATTTCCCCCAAAGCACCTCTGGGTGAACTCCAACTCCAAACTTTCTCAGTTAGTAACTGAGCAAGTTAAACATTTACACCACCCAGGGAATTTTCTGTGAGACACCAAAAAAATCCAGCTTAAACAATTTTGAGGGGTTGGTTTTATACTATTAAGAAATCAAAACGTAGGTAAACCATGTCTGACTGTGGTTCACAATGCTATCAGAGACCCAGGTTCCTTTGTTTTTCTACCCAGCCTTGCATCTTGGTTACAAAACGATTGTCCCACCAGCAAGTCCAAATTTCAAGCAGGAAGAAGCTGACGGTCAAAGAATTAGTTGAGTCTCCATTCCCTTTATGGACTTTCCTGGAAGCCCCACTCAACAATGTCTAATTATTAATTATATGTTATTGACCAGATGTGTGTCACCTGTCCACCGTTTTCTGCAAGAGGGGGAGGGGAGGGTTGGAAGAACAGGGTAGACGGTCTAAATGCGACAGAGGTAAATAGTGATGTGATGTATGCTCAACCTTAGAACAACAGCTCTGTGATACAGGGATCTAGGCATCATCTGAATGGGTAAAAGGGGGTGAGGGGACTGAGCTTCAGTTGAGCATATTGCTGTCCCCAACAGATTCAGATTTATATAAACAAGGAATACAAACTGGTATAGAATTTGCAAGGGAAGAAATGACGAACAGATATTGGGAAGGAGATGTGGGCAAGCCCTTCTTACTGCTTCTTACTATGGTGTGGAGCTATATAGGATCAGCACTGGATCGCTAACCACAAGGTTGGAGGTTCAAACTTTCCAGCCACTTCTCGGAAACCCTATACAGGGTCACTATGTGTAGGAACCAACTCTATGGCATTTAACGTAAAGGTTCATTGGGTTGGCTGTAACCTGTCTAAATACCCAGCTTCATTCACAGAAAGAAATTTGTCTTCTAATCCCAAAGATGGAGTCCTGGTGTGGCGCTGTGGGGTAATGCGCTGCACCGCAACGTCAGTTTGAACAAAAGGTCAGCAGTTAAAACCCACCAGCAGCTCCTTCGAAACCCTATACAGGATCGCTGTGAGTCAGAACCAACTCGACGGCACTTAACAACAGTCCCAAAGACGGCCTTCCTTGAGGAGTGGAAAAACAAATATCAATCATGGGGGACAAAGGCCGGTGGCACCTTCTTCCTCCCCCGGATTTCCATTTCGCGAGAATAGCTGCGCACCGCCCAGTCCACATTCTCCGCCCCATGCTGCTTTCCTCCGCTCTTTGTCTCCCTCTACCGGCGTATAGCGTACCTGCTGAACGAGCCAAACGGGAGACTGCGGAAGCCTAAACGAACTCACGCGCGCGCACGCCGACGTCCCCAAGCTTGCTGCCTTTCGGCGCGTGCGCATTGAGGGCTAGCAGCTCCCGGGACGCAGGAGTCAGGTAGTGGCTCTGAATCGGGCGGGTATCCGGGAACGGCCCGAGAGGGCCTGCCAAGAGTTCGTACCCTGCACGTCCGAGAACGCCGGCATTTGCCCTCACCTGAGTGGTTCTGGTGGGCTCAAAGCGTCGCTTTTTAACTTGAGTTCGCCTCCCGGGACTGGGAGTGGATGGGGGTCTCTAATGCCTGTTACTAATGTGGTATCTATCTGTTGTTTGTCCAGTAAGTCTTTCTCGAGGAGAGCACAGAGTTTGGAAAATAGTGCAGAGGAAGGGGCGAGACTGGACCAGGTGGGAGCTAGGGTACTCAGAGTCCTGGGACATTTTGGCAAAGCTGTCCCCAGGCTGTTAGTGGGAGTTGTTGTTGTTGTTAAGTGCCATCGAGTCGGTTCCGACCCATAGCGACCCTGTACAGGGTTTCCGAGGGTGTAAATCTTTACTGGAGTAGAAAGCCTGGTCTTTGTCCCGCGGAGCAGCTGGTAGTTTTGAACTGCTGACCTTACGGTTCGCAGCCTGATTCGTAACCACTACGCTACCAGAGTTAGTGGGAGTAGGAGGGGACAAAATCAGGATCCCGGTAGAAATCTCGCCGTTTGGGATCACACTTAAGACTGCAATCTGTTGATTTTTGTGTTTTTACGTCTCCAACAGAGGTGATTTCTCCCGTGGCCCGTGGGCGTGATATGAACACTAACTCATTTGTTTTTCTACATCCTAGGACATGACACAAGTGCCACATCACGGCCATGGGGTCTCACCACTCTGCTTTTGTTCGTCCCCGTTCTTGCAAGCGAAAGAAAGAAGATGACAGCAACAACATGACGGCTGACCGTGAACAGGAAGAAGCCATTGCTCAGTTCCCATATGTGGAGTTCACAGGGCGAGATAGCATCACGTGCCTCACTTGCCAAGGAACTGGCTATATCCCAACAGGTGAGGAACGGTGACTTCCCAACAAGAATCCCAAGATACCCACAGGAATGCTCCTGTCTGTCCAGAGTTGGTCCTCTCAACAGGGACACCATGCTTCTAGTGTCCTAAATAGGAGCCTACTCAATTCGCCTGATAAACCCAGGCAGGATGATAAACCAAAACTTCTCCTAGTTCCCTTATATTTGAAAGTCTTTCTTTCCTTGTTATTGGTTCATGTTGTTTGTTTCCCTGGCTTGGAACATTGGGTTTGCTCTCCATTACGGAACTGGCACATTTCTTTATTGCTCTCACTCATAAGGACTTTGCACAGCATTGCTGGTGAGCATCTTGAAAGCAGATAGTAAAAGATTAAGAGCCCAGACACACAACATTTCTGGAAGGTTCACTGTACAAACTGCTTTCTTAGATTCTTAAAGAAACTATATAACAGAGGAAAGGAAAAAAAAAAAAAAAAAAAGCCCAAGTGTGAAAAATAAGTGGGTAGAGAGAAACAAGGGATGGAAAAGTTCAGTAATGGCCTTGGGTTAAGTGCAGTATCATTTGTTACCGAGCTGAAAGTCTAACCAGGGTAGACAGAGGTTTAGAGCTGGTAACCTTAGAAACCTTTTACTCCAAAGCCTTCATCTTACAGATGAGAAACAGTGACCTAGCGAAGTTTAACTTTCCCAAGGCCTTGCAATTGGCTAATGGTAAAGTCAGAACAAATCCCAGATTTTCCAGTATCCATTTCACTGTTTTAGCAGCACTCGTGAATATTTTGTAATTTGTGGCACCGTATAAATTTACTTCTTTCTCTTTCATTTTACCCAACTATGAAAGTAATATTTTAGAAATCAGTTCAAGCTCACCAGCCACTCCTCAGAAACCCTATACAGAGTCACTGTGGGTCGGAACCGACTCAGTGGCACTTAACAACAACAATTCCAGACAATTGTTTGTTTTGGCAGGATGATAGGATATGTAAAGGAAAGTACTGCCAACCCAAGGGGTTTACTGAGTAATTGTTTGGTTCTTTCTAGAGCAAGTAAATGAGTTGGTGGCTTTAATCCCACATAGTGATCAGAGATTACGGCCTCAGAGAACGTGAGTTGACCTGCCTCCTGTCTCTTTTCACCCACTACTGGTCGTACGTATGGATGCCAGTCACCTTTTTGAAAACTGCCTCTGTTCTTGTATATTCCCCATCGCCTTTATTTACTATTATTGCTCAGGCAATATCTCTCTGTCCCTCAAAATCTGAGAACAGGAACTTGAAGTATAGCGTAGTGGTTACGAATTGGGCTGCAAACCACAAGGTCAGCAGTTCGAAATTACCAGCTGTTCCGCGGGAGAAAGATTAGGCGTTCTGCTCCCATAAAGATTTACAGCCTCGGAAACCCTGTACAGGGTCGCTATGAGTCGGAACCAGCTCCACGGCACATAACAACAACAACAACAAGTGAAGAAATTGGGTTGGAGAAAAGAGGGCTGTTCCAGGGGTTCAGGAAATACTTCTCTTCACACAGTTCTGCCTAGAATGCAAATAGCATTCCAATGGATTTTAAAAGCCCTCTCCCATTCAATATTCTTGCCTGGTTTGTGATTTCTGATTCTTTGTACTTTCGTTTTGCTCTCCCTTTATGCTTGGTTTTGCATTTAATTTTAACTAACTGGACTTTTATGTTTAGTTACCCTGGTCAGTCATGTGCTGTGTCATTTGCAGTAAACAGTATGTCCTCCTGTCCATCTTGCTCTGTTTCCTGGCATCCGGTTTGGTGATTTTCTTCCTGTTTCCACACTCAGTCCTTGTGGATGATGGCGGCATCAAAGTAGTGAAAGTGGTGTTTAATAAGGAGCGCTCCCTTATAATTCTCACCATCACGGTAAGATTTGGGGGCCTCTACTTCCTGAATTGCACGTTTTCCAAGTCTTGAACGCCGGGCACTTACACTTGTTTCCTCACTTTCCTGATGTAGGCTACCCTAAAAATCAGGAACTCCAACTTCTACTCGGTGGCAGTGACCAGCCTGTCCAGTCAGGTTCAGTACATGAACACAGTGGTTGGCACCTACGGGACAGCCAATGTCACCATCATTCCACCTCGGAGCGAGCACCTGGTATGCTGGTCTTCTAGAACCCTGGCCCAACAGATTAAAGAGCAGAGTGGGCTCCTGGGAACGCTATGTCCTTGCTATTTTCCCTTCCTCTTCTCATTTCCTCTTGAAAAAACTGGTTGATAAAGATTTAGAGAGCTCATAATTACGAAAAACACCAGCTAATATATATGAGGAGGCTTCAAAATATTCATGGAAAATGGAATTAAAATATTCATGGAAGATTTTTCCACAAAATTTTTGAAGCCACCTCATATAATTCTTTTGCAGAGCAAAAGAATTCCTAAGAGAGAAAAACTTGCTACAAACCAAGAATAGACAGTTATTGTAAACTGATATCTATTGGCTTCCTGAAGGGAAGAGGTTTGGAAGCATTTGTTAGAGGCGCATAGACTGTATTAGAGGAAATGTTGGAGAAATTTTTTCTGTGATGAAAGAATGATCCAAGGTCTTTTGAATTCCTAATAACAGTACTGCTGTACAAGAAATCTTCAAAAATTTCAGAGAAGCTATATATTATGAAACAACTATATGGGTCTAAAACTTTTTCGACACTATAGTCAATGCATACTACCCTGTTATAACATGTCTGAACAGAATCTAGTTTGAGATGTTAAAAAGGATAAGACATCTGTTTGAAAAGAGCCCTGGTACAGCAACGTGAATTCTACTAAAATTGAAGAAAGAATAAATATCAAATTAATGGTGAAGCTTGGGTGGAAGAATGGTAAAGTCACTGATATTTTGCAAAGAGTTTATGGGCACGATGCCCCCCAAGAAATGGGCAGTTTAAAATGGAGAGCTCATTTTAAGAAGGAATGACGTGTTGTTGTAGGCGAAGCCCACAGTAGCAGACCATCCAGGTCAGTTTACAAAGAAAAAATTAATCTCGTTTATGCCCTAATTGAAGAGGACTGACAGCTAACAGCAGAAGCAATCACTAGCACTGTAGACAATCACAGTTGACTCAGCTTACACAAATTCTGACTAAAAAATTAAAGTGAGCAAACTTTATGCTTGATGGGTGCGAAAACATGGGCCTAGATCAGCTGTAGGTAAGAGAGAGCTTTCAGTGGAAATCTTAAAATAAATGGCATCAAGATCCTGAAGCTTTTCTTAGGAGAAGGGAACAGAAGATAAAAGCATGTCTTTACCAGTATAATCCTGAAGATGAATCACAATCCAAGCAATGGCTACCAAGAGGTGGAAATGGTGCAGTCAAACCCAAAGGACTGGCCAAGAGCAAAGGTCACTACAACAGTTTTATGGAATGCTCAAGTTGTTTTGATTGTTCACTTTCTGCAGGATTAGAGAACGATAGCATCTGCTTATTATGAGAATGGTTTTTTTGTTGGAGTTAGCCAAAGCATTGGCAGGAAAGTGCCTGAGCAAGCCTCACCATTCTCCATCCCAGTGTTCTTGCTCATTCCTCTCATCAAGCATGGATGGTAATTTGAGAGCCTGATTTGGCTCCTTTTGACTTCTTTTTGTTTTCTGATCTTAAAAATTTTTTTAAATGCACTCATTTTTCTTCAGTTCATAATGTGAAAAAGACAGCAATGATATGGTAAAATTCCTAGAACCCTTAGTTCCTTAGGGGTGGACTAAATGGCTGGTATCGTTGCTACTAAGGTGTCTTGAACTTGACGGAGCTTATTTTGAGAAATAAGGAGTATAAATTTTTTAATTTTTATCATTTGATTCCATTTTCCCACAAACTTTTTTGAAGTCCCCTCCTTTTATGTCAAGCCTGCTTGGCCACAGACTGACTCTGGTATCTTATTTTCAGGTGAATTTTACTGTGAATGCTGAGATGGGAGGACCGTATTCCTATGTCTAGTAAGGACAATCTTTTTATGTGTGCTGTTTATTGAATTAAAGAGATTCAAAGTTGATCCGGATGTGGACCTTCCTTAAGACCCAGCTTTTGGTCTGTAGGCTCCCTACCTTTGAGATTTATTTGGAGATGTGTCATTTAATATGTAACTTAAGTGCTGGGCCTCTAAAGAGAGCATTCTATCACTGTCAGATGCCATTGAGTAAACTGACTCAAGGCAACCCCATGTGTGTCCATGTAGAACTGAGCTTCATAAGGTTTTCAATGACTGAGTTTTCAGACATAGATCACCAAGCCTTTCTTCGAAGGCGCTTTTAGGTGACCTTGAACTTCTGAATTCTCGGCAGTCAAGCACATTAATTATTTACACCACTACGCCACTAGAAACAAGCCAAGCACCACTGTTTATATGATAGGTTATTTTAAAAGGAAAAAGTATGATATAAGAGGATAAGAACAACCCTTGTGGGGACCCAGGACTAGTGAGCCTTGGCAGTACCTAGGCCGAGGATCAGGTATCACGGGAAGGGGCCCCCAAACAGAACTGACTGCTCCTCAGTTTGACAGTGTAGCTCAGTACCTTTCTATTTGTTTTCTTTTGTTGTTGTTTTTAAATCATTCTAACCATTTCCATAATTGCTATTTGCCAGCTTCTTCTGCACGTTACCGGACATCCTGGTGCACAACATAGTGATCTTCATGCAGTATGTCGTCTTCTAGTTTGATGGCCTTTGTGTTTGGAGTTGGAGCGTCTGGCTATATAAGCATACCACCTTTGCTCAGGAGATCCATGTGATCCAAAAGAAGGCACCTGCTGCTCTACAGACAGAGACCCAGTAGATACTTGGTGTCCTCTAGCTGTCCCCAGACTCACAGTGAACACTAGAACATATCATTTTCTTCATGAAAATGGTATGTGCTGCCATTTGGTGGGAGAGTCCAAATGGTAGGCTCTCATTAGACACCTAATGAGACCAGTAAAGAACAGAAACGCTTTCTCAAGACAAAAGCATTGGCCATTTAGACAGACTTTCTGTCTAGTTCCCACATATTTGCCAAACAAGCTACCATGAGTAATGGACCCTTTAGGGTTAGTCCTGGCAACACGAATGTTAAGCCCGCAGATGACAAGTATCTGCTATAAACATTTGAAATATGAAGATTTAGAACAGGATTTCTCAACCTTACTAACATTGTGGACCAGAGAATTCTTAATGGGGAGGGGCTGTCCTATGCTTTGTAGGATGTTTAGCAGCATCCCTAGTCTTTATTTACTAGAAAACAGTTAAAACTTCTCTCCCCTTGTTCTTTACCATCACCCAAAAATATCTCCAGGTGTTACCCTAAGTGCCCGCCCTGTGTGGCAGAATTGCTTAGAGGGTCACCTCATGACATAGTATTTGAAAGTCTTCTAGCCTCCTCTTTAGATAATCATGAAGAGAATTGTGTGGGACCTCCAGGCATACTTCATTTCAGAAACAATTTTTTTTTTTCTTTTCCTTAGAACTTTGGTGAAGATATCTTATGTCGGCAAAGTATCCCAGAGCCCCTTGGAGACACATCACTATGTGGATTGTGGTGGAAATTCCACAGCTTTCTAGAAACTGCTCTGGCTCTTAGATGGCAGCACCTTTCAGAAGAGAGCACAGCATCGGTTCCTAGGGCCTGAGTTCCATGCCTATTCTTGGTGGTATAAAGCAGAGGACAAGCTGCTCTCAACCCCAGAAATCAACCTCCTACCACTTAGGAAGAAAACAATAGCAGAATTTGTGTTTACTCAGAACCAGCAGAGTCACTGCCTGTGTTTCATCTTTTGCCCTGCAAATAATAGGAACTCAATAAATGCTTGGAGAATTCATTCCTATATTTTCAGCTGTCCTTGAAGAATTGTAATCACCCCGTGATCCTAGGTTGTCAAACCACAGAGTGATGTGGTGATAGAAATTAATGTAGCCACAGACTGTTTAGTGTCCCATCTGGGAAAAGTGGCAGCGAGGTGGGAACATTTGAGTACATAAGAAAACAAAATAGCATGTCATGTGTGAGTCTTTTAATATGCTCCAAGATGTCTAGGAGCTTAAGCAACAATACAACAAAAATAATTTCATCAGGTGTCTGTGGGGCTCGATTTACCCTTATCCATTGGCTGAAACATGGATTGGGAATTTGGTAGAAAATCTTGCTTTCCTTTGATATATGTCTTCTCTGACGGATGTCTTAGTAGTTTCCTATGGGTGGGGCCTTGGAATAGTTGCCTGCTAAGCAGGTCAGGGAGTCCTGGTGTGGCACTATGGGTTAATGTGCCAGACTGCAAAGCCATTTGAACTGGAAGGTCGGTTCAAGTTCACCAGCTGCTCCTCAGAAACCCTATACAGTGTCGCTGTAGATCAGAACCAACTGGACAGCACCTAACAACAACAAGCAGGTTAGCACAGGATGGGAAGGAAAAAAGGAATCCTGATTTACTACTTCCTGACCCCATCATCCCTAATCACAAAGCATCCTCCTGCCAAAGCAACCTCACTTCCTCTCCCTCAAGGTAATAGGCTGTAATATTGTTCTTCCAAAAATGAGCGCTTAGTGTCCCCTGGAGGTGAACAGAGGTAGGGCAGATGCCTGGGGAGTGAGCCATGGCTTCCTAAGGGGGATATTACCAAATAAGCCTTTTGAGGTCAGGGAGGTTAAATGATTTCCCCTCCCCATCGTACAGATTTAGACTTGAATAAGAGAGTCTGGTTTGAGGTTGGAAATGTCTTGAGCTGTCTCCAAGTCACCAAGCAGTGGGCTACCTCCCCAAGCTTGCAGAAAATCTAGTTGGATTACTGAAGGGGACTTTCCTTCCACACTGGTGGCTTTAGCCTTAACACCAAATGGAGGCAAAGTTTGTCCATTAGGTCCTGCCCGTATTCCCAAAAGTGGCTTTCAAGATTTGCTTCTTGTAAAGGGGTGGGGGGTAGAGGGTGGCGCAGGTTAAAAAAAAAAAGATGATTGAGCTGATTCAATCTGATGAACTTGACCTATGCATACGAATGCAGTGACTCAAAAGAGGCAACAAATCCTTACAGCAGGAAACATTCCCACCCCCACCACACACAGAGTGGACAGAGATGGGCAACTTGGACATTGGATACCCAAATGGGGAAGGAGGGACTACAAAGGCAAGAAGTAACTGGCTTACAAGCTTTCAAGAGGGAACCTAGAGAGCTAGGGGGCATGGAGGAAGGCAGAATCACCAGTGAGTACTATCCAATTTGTCTAGGTGGAGCTGATGAAATGAAATACAGATGGGTTACTCACGATACTGTAGTGAATAATGGTTATCAGGACGGATTGTGAGTGTTGGAAATGCAAAGGTGGACATTTTGTGGCAAGGAAGGGAGCGACTGTTTCTGCAGTCTAGGAGTAGAGGTCTCTGGGACCACCAACGGAGAAGAGCCGAGAGTGGGGACCCTACCCAGAGAAGCAGGAATGCCTGAGATGGAGACAGGGACGATGACATGGAGGGATGGAGCGGCTGGGGATTAAATGATCCAGGGAGAGGAACTGTGGGCTGGGGGTGGGGGTGGGTGGGAGGGGTGGGCAGTGCAGAGGACGGCCTTCCAGGATATGCCCTTTGGTCAGGAAATGATGCATGGAGGGGATTGGGAACATGGCAATATAATGATATGCGATGGAATGAATGTCAAACTAGAGTTCTCTCATGTAAACTATCATATAATTCACAATAAAACATTGAAGAAAAAAAAAAAGATTTGCTCCTTGTAAGTGCCATTGAGTTAATTTCGACTCATAGCAACCCTGTGTAGTTTTTGAAGAGTGGCTGATGAGTTTGAGCCACCGACCTTGCAATTCAAACTGACCTTGCAGTCCTGTACTTATCCCACAGTACCATACCAGGATTCCTGCTAAATACCACAGAGTCAGTTCCAACTCAGTGATCCTGTATAGTTTCCAAGGAACAGCTGGTGGGTTTCAACTACCGACCTTGTGGTTCAAAGTCCAGTTCTGATGCTATAACATCATACCAGGATTCCAATATTTGATGAATGACATTTATATTCTGAATCTTCAAACTAAGGCTGTTTGGTATTGACCGAACAACCCAAAAGCTGAGATTTGAAAACTGGGTTTAGTTACTGGACTGCCTCATTTAATATGTATGTACGTGGTGGTGATGAATGCCAGTGTACCTTGGTGGTAGAACATCACCACTTGTATGAAACAAATGTACCCCATTTCTGGGAACATTACCCTAAATGAATAGATGATGATGTTCATATTACTACCATTTCTCTTTAGTTGTACCATTTTCCAAGTAACTTCTGTAGCATAGCTTTCATGTAATTTTTTAAAAGCTACTCATGTTGATACTTCAGTTTTGAGTCATATTTTTATGATTGTGTACTTCCGTAGCATTTCCTGTTTCTCGGTATTGAAATTCAGCTATGCTATTCAAATGAGGGCACTTGAAATTCGAAACATGTAGTAAGTTTGATCTCCTAATGGTAAGAATTCTCATGCCTAATTATGTTTTTGTTTTCTTAGCATTCCAAACTGCATTGTGGGGTGCTCTGTATAGTTTCAGCCAGGTATCTGTGCAAAGTGGTGTGGGGAGCATGTCTTACCTCAGACTACACAAGGAAGAAGGAGAATCCAACACACCAGCTCAAGGCCCATTCCTGTGAGGTCATGGCCAGTCGTTGCTCTACCCTCCAACCTTCTTTATCCTATTCTGACACCAGCAATTCCTCCCAGGGCAGCTACTTCTCTGCTGGGTTCGACAGTCCATTGCAAAGGCCACACAGAACTCCTATCACACACAAAACTCCAGTTATGGGGTTTACAGAGTATAATTCAGGATCAGAAACAAGATACAGCAGTTCTCCCATCAGGCAGTCCTCTTCAAAGCCTTACTTCAGGCACGCCTCTCTCGGTCCTTGGGCTGTTAGCCAGGCAGCCCCTTGGCCCAGAGGCTCAGGCACATGTTTCAAGTTCCTTTGTTGTTGTTGTCAGGTGCCATCGAGTCGGAACCGACTCATAGTGACCCCATGCACAGCAGAATGAAACAATGTTCAATCCTGGGCCAACCTCACTACCGTTGCCACACTTGAGTCCATCAATGATGCCACCTGGCCAATCCATCTCGTTAGGGGTCTTCCCCTTTTTCTCTGACCCTCCAGCATGACATCCCTCTCCAGCGGCTGTTCCTGCAGGACAATGTGTCCAAAGTATGAAAGACGAAGCTTAGCCATCTTGGCCTCCAAGGAGAACTCTGGCTGCACTTCTTCCAAAACAGATCTATTGGTTCTTTTGGCAGTCCATGACACTTTCAGTATTCTCCTCCAACACCACAACTCAAAGGCATCAATTCTACGATCTTCCTTATTCACTGTCCAGCTTTCACATCCATATGAGGCTATTGAAAACACAATGGCCTGGGTCAGGCGCACCTTAGTCCTCAAGCTGACATCTCTGCTCTTCAATACTTTAAAAAGTTCCTGTGCAGCAGATTTGCCCAATGCAATACGTCGTCTGATCTCTTGACTGCTGCTTCCGCGAGTGTTGATAGTTGATCCAAGAAGAATGAAGTCCTTGACAACTTCAATCTTTTCTCCATTGATAAGAATGTTGTTTAGCACTGCTGATATATGTCCAAAGAACACCCAGTGCGAACCAGCCTCCTGCCTGAAGGCACTCAGCATGACTCACACCACGGGCCAGGAAGTCTGCTGCTGTCTTTCTGTCACCAACACCGACGATGTGCTCTGCTCCTTGTTCTTTCTTGATGCTCTTGAGATCATCTGTTCCTGCTTCTGACATGACTCATTTTAAACTCAGCAGAATGGCAAAACTGACCATTTCCCTTACCAAATGACTGGGTGGGATCCTATTTACTTGGTGAGAGTTACAAACACTATGGTAGAAGATTCATAATTTCCTATATCACAGCCTGTCTTCTGAGACACCTCTTTGAACTGCCAGCCTTTCAGCTAGTAGTCAAGCACTTAATCATTTGTATCACCAGTTACCCCAAATTAGGACCCCTGAGATCTCCTTTGGGTCCACTATCCTTATAGGGATTTGAGGCCCACGTGCAAAGCAAATGATTAGAAGAACCAGTCTATTTATCAAAAGATTTACATCGATCTGTTGTTGTTAAGAACTGTCGAGTCAGTTCTGACTCATAGTGACCCTGTATAGGGTTTCTGAGGAGCAGCTGGTAGGTTTGAACCACTGAGCTTGCAGTTCAAACTGACCTTGCAGTCGAGTGCTTATCCTACAGTGTCATACCTACAGGGCCCCAATTATTTTCTCTGGACAAAATAATCTTTATTCTTGACCTTTGTCAGTGAAAGTCACTTTCTTCATTCTCCATCACCTTGTCAGCAAGCCTATAAAATTTTTTCTGTGTTCCTTCGCTAGTTTGGAAGTTATCCTATGATTCATCCATGTGCACTTTAAAGTAAATCTGAGCTGGAGTTCGGACTCCTGATGCTTAGTCTAAAGCTTCCAGAGCAATCGCCACCCTTTTAGAGTTGAGGAAGCTAAGATTCAAGAGCCACTGGGTTAGTAAACCAAGTCTGTCCACTCAATCATGCTGGGACAGGAATTTATCTGAGGGATTATTCTAATTGAAGAAACAGCTTTCCTGGGGCATCAGGGATCATGGAAAGCAGTAAATTATTCTCATTTCCCCTGGGTTAGGTTTGAGTTGATGTGGTGATCAGTAGGGTAGGGTGACAGGCCAGAGTGGTACATTGTGATATGACCCAGAGGCAGGCAGGTTTGGACTAGACATTCTCACGGCTTCTCGTCCCTTGAGCTCTTCCTCTGCCCACTCCTTGATTACACCGGAAGCTGTCACTATTATTTCTAGGTTTCACCAGGAAGTGGGCTGGTACAGATGGGACACTTCTTACAAAGGTCTGAGCTAATTGTCATGAGCTATTGAACTACTTTATTAAAACGAAGTAGTTCCGATGCCACTGTGGGGAGCAGAGGGGCTCCTTCAGTTTGATTGAGTCCGTTCAAACCATCATCTAAGGAAAGGTTTTCATAGGCATCCCTATACTCCTGGCTCTCCCCTTGACCTTATTAATTCTCATGGTAGGCAGAGGATTGTTTTTTAAACTTGTGAGATAGGTATTTTAATTATGTTGTTAATTATCATGTTTTCATTTTACTCTTTTAGCTTGTCTTGAACTAGATCTGGCAAAATACACTTCATTAGGCAAAATTTACTTCTTCATTGTGAAGAATGTAACCAGTGTCCCTTAATGCCTTATGTGGAAATTGCTGAATGGGGGCCTAAACTGTTATGTGAACCTTCACTGAAAACAATGATTTTTTAAAAAATTACTTTGTAAGTTGGGTGCTAATTAATGCCTAAAACAAATACAATATTTGTTGTTATTATACTTTAGTCTAGAGACAGGGGAAGGGAGGAATAGGAGGATGTAGGGACACAGGAAAAGGCAACCCTCAGACTTACCAGCAGTGCCAAATATCTTACCAAATTTATTTCACAAAATACTACTATCATTGATTCTGATGGGCTTTGTCATTCTTTCCCATTTCACACATCATTACCACCATACTTACACCACACAGACCAACTCACTGAAAGGCAAGGGGCACCTGTAAGTAGGGAGAAATGAGATGTGTCCATTTTTTTTTCAGAGCAGTTTTCAGAGCAGTCCATGCAAGCTGTAAATGCAGGCCCAGGAAGTGAAGAAAGGGGGCCAGAGGAGCAGCAGGGCAGAGGAATAATGAGGCATTTAATACCCTGACCTCTCCTTGACCTTCACCAAAGGCACATTCAATGCTGTTGAGTTGATTCCAACTCTTAGGGATCCTATAGTAGAGTAGAACTTTCCCATGGGGTTTCCAAGGCCATAATCTTTTCGGAAGCAGACTGACACACCTTGTTTTCTGCAGAGCAGCTAGTGAGTTTGAACTGCTGACCTTTTGGTTAGCAGCCAAGCACTTAATCACTGTGCTACCAGGGGCCCTTTAAAAGTCTTATAGAAAGATATAAACAGATTACTAAGATTTTATAACTTTGTACACTTATCAAGGGACCCCTGTGGGTTTGTTTCCTCACCTTCTCCCCTCCACCCCTAAATTCCCTTGAGAGCACCTCATATTTATTTCCAGCCAGCCAGTACCATGGACTGCCAAAAGAACAAACCAATCTGTGTTGAAGGAAGTACAGTCATAACGTTCCTAGGAAGCCAGGATGGCCAGACTTCATCTCTCATACTTCGGACATGTCATCAGGAGGGACCAGTGGAGGGTCAGAGAAAAAGAGGAAGACCCCAATGAGATGGACTGGCACAGTGGCAGCTGCCATGGGCTCAGGAGTAGCAACAACTGTGAACTTGGTGTACTGTTTCGTTCTATTGCGCATTGGGTCGATAAGAGTCGGTACCAACTCGAAGGCATCTAACAACAAACAAGATGCAGTTCACACATTGTCCCCTCCCCTCATCTCAGAGAATATCGCCTGTCTTGCACTTATCTGCCAGAGATTTGTTCCAAATTTGTGTTCCGTATTTACTCTAGGACGAGGCCATCCCTCCCTGTATCTCTTTGCCCATATGTTAGTCTCTGGTCCCAATTTACCACTAGAATCTGCTCAGCGCCAAGGTTTATAAAAACAGACAAGTTTGTGTTTGTGTGAGGCCACTAAACCAGGTCGCCTGACTTGACTGAAAAGTAAGCAGAAGGACTTCAAAGGTCATTTGGTCATGCCTGCAAGGATCAAGAATTAATGGAAGATAAAGAACAAAACACAGAACAATAGATACTTTCCAATAATTTTTTTGTTTTTAATATCAATTGATGTTTTAAAAAATACAGAGGTGTTTGACAGAGAATAGCACCATAGTGTAGGGCACACACAGTTCCTGCGCCCGGCACCTGAAGGGGGTCTTCTTGCCTGGGCTGGGGGGCAGTCACTCAGGGGGCATTTGACTCACACCAGTTAGTTTCCTGCCTCTGCCTTGACCCAAAGGTCTTACTAGAAGACAATAAATAAATAGAACACCGAGATTTTATTTTGCAGTCTGCCCAGTTCAGGTCTCTTAGAAAGAGAGGGAATGAAAGTCCAAACTGTGAGGGTGGGATGGATGGACATCAGGTCAGGTCAGCCATTCAGTGCAGAGTCTCAGAGTGACTGCGATTGGAAAGTACGTGGGTCCTTTGGGTTTGGAATGGATGGTGTTGTTTCTGGGTTGGGGTTTTTACAAGAAGCAAACAGGCCCTATGTCCACACCAAATTCCTGATCAGGCCCTCCAATGTCCATGGGTGCAATGTCAATGATGGGGAGGCGAGAGGTCTTCTGTGATCGGTACTCGATGACTGTCTTGCCCCACTTCCCAGTGTGTTTCTAGGCAAGAACAAGGAGACAAGACTCAGTAGATGCCCTGAACTCAGGTCCCACTACCCAGGATCCCAAGACTGAGCAACCTGACAAGTTTTTTTAGTGAGAACCACATTCACAGGGGTTCCTATACCTCTTCTTGGCTTTCAAAGTCTTTTCCATTTCTACTGCTACTCTTAGCAACAGTGACTTTCTTCATCTTTCCCTTCTTCCTCCTGCCCCCACCTTGATCTCTTTATTTCACATAGACTAGGTATACTTCTACAAGACTTACTGGATACATCAGGTAGGGCCGTATTTCTCCTGAGCCAAGTGAGCGGAGAAATAGAACAATGGTGCGCCTCTCCCTCACCTACCGTTCTGCTTGTCTTCTATATGCAGCCCCCTCAAACCTGTAGCTCTGATTAGCCTCTCATTTTAGGGCAGCAATAGGATAAAGCACTGGACAGCAAGGTCAGATTAAACCATAAGGTGGGCAGTTCAAATTCACCAGCAGCTCCTTGGAAACTCTATATAGGGTCGCGATCAGTTGGAACTAACTCAATGGCACTTAACAACAACAATAACCCTTTCTGTGCGCTAGTCCCTGCCCTGCTCCAGTCACAGCCTCAAGCCCCACTGGCTCTCCTCTCTCAGTGCCTCCAGCCAACGCCACTCACCGTGCAGCCATCCTTCAAGGCACTGTATGTAAACCTGCTATTGCCCTCAGCCCGAATCTCAACATCATTAGAGCCCTGGATGAGTAAGGCTTTCTTGAGGTTGCCGGCGGCTTCATCCATGTAGGCAATGCTATTCTTGCAGTGGTAGGTGATGTTCTGGGAGCCCTCCGTGGACAGCAGGCGTAGGAAGGTCATCTGGACGTTGGCAGTGTTGGGAGCCAGGTTGTCATCTCCATAGCTGAACTGTTAGAGCAGAGAGTGGTGGTGTGAGGTCTGAGAGCCTGGCATTCAGTAGAGCTAAGGGTTCTAGAAGACTGGGGAGCTGAAGAGGGTGCTGGGAAGACAGTTTTGCTTTCAGGAAGTAGAAGCCCCAAAGGGCATCCCTCTTTTGCCACCTCTAAATTGGGGGTGGAATTTGTACTATTCTTCTCTTTTCTTCCTCTTTTTAAAATATATTGTGGCAAATACATATGTAATAAAACATGTGCCATTTCAGCAGTCTTCACATGTACAGTTCAGTGACACGAATTGTGTTGGTCAGGGTGCTCCACCATTACCATTATCGGTTCCCCAAATTTCCCATTTCTCTCCTTCCTCATAAGCCCAAAAGAAAAATGGTGAAAACGTGAGCAAGTATGCTTCCAGGGAGAAAGAAGATAAAGATTTTGAGAAGCCACCTCTGGCCAGAGAAATCAGGTACTCACGTGGAAGCCACCGTTGATGGTTTCTCCAAACCAAATGTGTTTCTTCTCCTTGCTCTTGCTGCTCCACCAGTTCTTCTTGGGAACGTTTGCTGGGCTGGGATAGACGCAGGTCTCACCAGTCTCCATGTTGCAGAAGACCTTCATGGCATCCAAGGTGCAGCCCTGGTTGGGGTCAATCCAGTAGTCTCCTGCAGAGGGGAGAAGTAATAGCCCTCAGGGCTCAGTCAGGCATAGACACACTCCCTGAGGAGTGGGGGTGGCAGGAAGTCCTACAGGGCCATCAGAGGAGAGGAGCAGGGTGTGAGGTCCACGTGTGGTCCAAGGGAAGAGTGCAGGGTATAACTTGGAAGGGCCAAGTCCAGTACAAGCAAAGGAGCAAGAAAAAGTCTGTGTAGGATGAACTCTGCCCGAGCCTGTGTCAGGACAGGTGCCAGGACCAGAGCATCACCATCATAAAAGGCAGACTCGGGCACCTGCCAGAACCTTTCAGCCCAGCTCTGCCCTGAGCTAAGAGAGCCTTGTCCAAGGGGAGAAAGTTCAACTCTCTGGGCAGAGGGTCCAGGCTTACCGCTCTTCCACTCGGGGTGGCAGAGTTTCAGGTCTCTGCAGGTTCGAGCAGGATTCTTGCGGGAGCCCTCAGGGCTGCGGATGCTCTCTATCTGGTTATTGAGGGACTTGAGTGTGGCATCCACCTCGACGTCATGTTGTCTCAGGGTGCCAGCTGCCTGGTCAGCCCGCATGTACTGCAGGGGGTCAGGGCCCTTCTCTCTTTGGCCAAGGCCAGCAAAGGCGGACATGTCGATGCCAGGACCAGGGGGACCTGGAGGGCCGGGGGGTCCAGGATTTCCAGGAGGACCCTGTTGTAAGAGACAGAGAGGTCATCCAGGATGGTCTCTCCTGTGTCCATTCCACCTGTTAGAACGCTCTAGAGTGTCAAATTCTTCCCATTAGTGAGGTGCTGCAGGACCAACAACCACACCACTGTCTCCATTTCTTCCAGTAGCCCCTCTCTTCTGAATCCCAACATCAGTCATGAGCCCTCCACACCTGAGGAGACCTCAGGATAAAGGATGTCATCACCAAGAGACCATCAGGATGGGAGACCTCAAGCTTCTCCGATGCTGAAACAGGACACTTACAGCAGGGCCAGTTTCTCCTGAACGTCCACGGGGACCAGGAGGTCCAATGGGGCCAGGGATTCCATTAGAGCCATCTTTGCCAGAGGGACCAACAGGCCCAGGAGGACCCTGCAGGCCAGGAGAGAGAAGAGATGGTGAGAAAAGAGTGGTCATCCAGGGGAAGGATGGGGCTGCTTAGGTGGCTGTCCTGGTGACCTTAGTCACTCTGCTCCAATCTTCACATTTCTCCATCATACAACCCCAAACTGGTCTCTTTTTCCCCCAAAATCAGGAGGATAGTTCTTGGTTCTCCTACCGTTCTAAGCTCCTCATTGTATAATTCTACTATTATAGACTTTGACCACAGAGAGCTGCCCTCGTGTTCATCTTATGAGACTTCTCTGACCATAGTCACGCCAAGCCAGTCCTACCCCAGCTGCGGAGTGAGGACTCCTGAGGACTCAAGAAGCAGTAATAGTGTCCTCCCCATGTGAACACCCAGCCCAGCCCCGCTAGGAAAGGGTTCACGCCTTCTCCCAACTCCATCTCACTTACTCTAGGGCCAGAAGGACCAGCAGGACCAGAAGCACCTTGGTCTCCAGAAGGACCCTGTACAGAAGGAAGGGGCAAAGGTCAGAGGCTAGCAAAGACAGGGATCCATTCTCTAGCAAGGAAGCCATCTTGAATCTCTCTATCTACTATCTATCTATCTATCTATCTATCTATCTATCTATCTATCTATCTATCTATCTATTTTCTGCTCTTCTTTTAGGGCAGCAGATTCTCTCCCATTCTCTTTCCATTTCCCCCTCCCTCCAACTCTGAGGAAGTCCCTGTTGTCTTAGCAGCATGGGAAACCCAAGAGGACTCTGAGCAGATGGGAGGCTGTGGGGGAGCTGGGTCAGGCAGCATCACTTACAGGAGGCCCAGGCAGACCCTGCAGACCAGTGAAGCCTCGGTGTCCCTTCAGCCCTCTTTCGCCAGCCTCTCCAGTTTCTCCTTTGTCACCTCGGGGACCTTGAGGGCCCTGAGAATCAGACAGACAGACAGAGGTTGGGTCAGGGCAGGGCCAGGGCAGAAGCCAGGGAGTCCCAGCAACCACGGGGTCCCTGCTGCCCTCCTAGCCTCAAACCAGCACAGGGTGCTTGGACACTCACTGCTATTCCTCGAGCTCCAGCAGGTCCAGCAGGTCCCATGGGGCCTTGTGCACCCTGTAAGAGTGAGTGTAAATATCATTGGGTAGCCAGGAGGAGATGACCCTCCTCTGTGTGTGCCCAGGGCTGTGAGCTCAACCACCCGCCTCCACCACCAGCTTCCACCAAAGTAAGTCTACTCACAGCCTCTCCTCGGTCTCCCTGTTTGCCAGTTGGGCCAGCGGGGCCAGGAGATCCAGGGGACCCAGGGGCTCCCGGAGCACCAAGGGGACCAGTCTCACCACGATCACCCTGTCAGGAGAGAGGTCTAAGGCTCAGAGAGGAGGGAAGGTCCTTCCAGGCTGAGACAAGACTCTGAGCCCAGGCTGCCACGCTGGGTGACCTCCATCCCACCTCGCAGAGAGACACCTAAATATTCACCTTGACTCCAGCCGCACCATCTCTGCCAGGAGGGCCATCAGCACCAGGGCTTCCCTGGCAAAAGGGAACAGGAGTTTGTTAGAACTGCCCTTGGCCCTGTCCCACTCTACTCTCCCGTCCTCCTCTCAGAAGCCCCAGCCGCGCACTTCTGTCCAACAAAGTTTTCTCACGAGCTTCCACCCTGTCCCCAGCTCTGAGTGCTCTATGCCTGTTCTCTCCAATTACTATCTTCCCACTGCACCCAAATATTGGCCTTGTCCTCTCCTGGGCACAGGACTCAGGGCTCCCAGATGGGTCCTGTCGCCCAGGCTCACCTCTCGTCCGGGTTCACCCGCAGGACCAGTCAGGCCAGGAGGACCCACCGGGCCAGGGGGACCTCGGTCTCCAGATGATCCGGGAGCTCCCTGTTTTCCAGGCTCGCCCTGGAGAGACACACACACGGACGATGAGTGATGCTCTGGGAATCCTTGAACAGGGCCCCATTTCCCCTTCGGAAGACTGCAGAGTGGGTGGAGGCCAGGCCACCACACCAAAAGCACTGAATGAAGTCTGTGCTCTGGGTCAAGCTGGGCCCAAGGCAATCAGAGGAAAGGCAGCCCTCACTCACCGATGGGCCAGGCAAGCCGGGGAATCCTCTCTCACCACGCTGTCCAGGCAAACCAACAATGCCCCTCTGCCCTGCCAGACCCTGGGGACCTGGAGGACCATCAGGGCCCTGGAGATAAGAAAGGCAGGAGATGAGAACTGACCTAGAGTAGCCCAGCCATCCCACTCAGCACTCTGCCCACCATGCCCTCCAACCCAGCATCTCCACAGCCCTCCCCTCTCACTCCTTTCCCAGCTCTGGCCCAGGGGCCTTGGTCACTTACAGAGGGACCGTCATCTCCAGGCTCCCCCTTTTCACCAGGGGCTCCTGCAGGACCTTGGAGGCCAGGGTCACCAGCTCGGCCAGGGGAGCCAGTGTCGCCTCGAGCACCTTTGGGACCATCTTTTCCAGAAGGACCAGGCGGACCAGGGGGTCCAGGGTTACCCTAAAGGAGCAAAATTGAGAATTCATCTCATCTGTCTCTATCCAGGTTGGCTCAAGTCATCCACTGGCATCGGATGCCAAAGGCACTAATGTCCCAGTGACTGCAGTTTCCTTTCTAGGAGTTTCTCTGCCTCCTCCACACTAAGGAAAACTGCCCCCACCCCTGGCTCACCTTGGTCTCTCCCACTGTGAGTGCCCTGGCCACCAGCCCTGCTCCTCCATCCCACACTGTTTTATCTTATCACCCCAGGACCAGTCTTCATGGGTCAGCTCCAGCCTTGCTTCCTCCAACCCCGGAGCTGTCTACTCGCCCACAGCACCTGCTCTGTCCTTGGTGATGGTGACATACTGAGTAACAGTTCATTGCCTCTACCCCCTCTACCACAGCTATCTATCTATCTATCTATGCTCTGTCCTTGGTGATGGTGACATACTGAGTAACAGTTCATTGCCTCTACCCCCTCTACCACAGCTCCATAAAAGCAAGGGCCTAGACTGTGGTCTTGCTTACGAAGGGCAAGGCCGGGTGCACAGAACATGCTCTGGAAGCATGTGTCCATGAAGAAGGCAATTGTGGCAGCCCCGTCATCCCTCTGAGCAGAAGTCTGAGGGTCAAGCCCGGGCCAACAAAGAGGGCTGCCTGGGTCTAAGCACAAGGTCACACCCCAGCTGCAGCTGTCTACAAGGAGACTGGGTACCCTAGTCAAGAAGCTGCCCCTCCCAGGATGGGAGTGGGACAGTCTGACACTCTCTAGACCCTTGGGGTGACTGGACAGAGTGTGAGACCCCCTTATTTCCATACCAGCAGTAAACCAGAACCATCACCTACATTTGAGCCTGGGGGTCCGACACGGCCAGCAGCTCCAGGGAATCCAGTGGCACCCTATAAAAGGAGAAGAGGGCCCCTGAATGCCCAGGCCCTCAGGTGCTCCAAAAAGCAGGTGTGGACCTCTCAGAGGCTAGTGTGGGATGAGGGAGGGGCTGCAAAAGTTGACAGGGAGAAAGGACTCGCTAGGTTCAATCACTGGAATTGCCTCAGGATCCCCCACAGGACCTTCAGCCAGCTTCAGAGCATGAACCATGCAGGAGCAAAGCCTAGGGCTGGGGGTTCTCTGGAATTCTGTGTAGGGAGGCTCCATGGTTGTGGGATGAGCTTGGGCTCGGGGTGAAAGTAGGACTGAGAAGGAGGAGGGGTGAGACACAGAATACCAGCAGAGGTCGGGTGTGACAGGAGCCCCAACCCCAGTGCCCTCCTCCCCACCCAGGTGAGGGTGGGAACAACCTCACTCACCGGAGGGCCTTGAGCACCTCGGGCTCCTTTAGGACCAGTCACTCCAGTAGGACCCTGGGAGGGGAAGAAGGAGATAGTGAGTCCCCATGATCCCAGGGGAGCCCCAACAGCAGTCTCCTGGGGTGAGGTCTTCAAAGACAGCTTTCTGGGCATTAAATCGGCTACCCTACCCACACACCCCCATCACCAGGCAAAGGAGTCTCTTGTTCTAGATCTTGAGAAAAGAAGTCCATCAATTGTCCATGAAAGCAGTCCCAGTTTCCTGCCATCTCACCTCACTCCTCCCCAGAAGACTACTCGGTCTTGGTATAGCCTCTGTCTACACAGTGTCAGCTGTACTGTCAGCCTCCAAAGCTGCCCAGCTCCCCGAGACAATAGAAGCTCCCTCCACTGACCACAGGCCAAGTCTCTTTATCACCAGAACCTTTGTCTCTAAACACAAACCTCCCTACAACCTCCCTTCTGTGGAGTATTCCCGCGGCCTCCTAGCTGGTCTCAGCCTACCCAGGTCAACTGAGGCCTTTCCTCCTGCACCCAGCAAAGCCTCATGGGAACACCTCTTTGGGAGCTCAGCTACCCACCTGAGGCCCAGGAGCTCCTGAGGGACCCTGGGGACCAGGGTTTCCAGCATCGCCTTTCTGACCAGACTCTCCTTGCTCACCCTTGGCACCAGGCTGTCCATCAGCACCCTGGGAGGAAGAAAGGAGGAAGCAGATGAGTGAGGGGCAGAGAGAGAGACTGTGTATGTGTGTGCTGATCCACAATGGGTCTGAAAATTGGAGTGAGCTACGATTGTGATATTGCTGTGGAGGTGTGAAAGGAGATGAAGGGAGAGACAACCACTCCTTCTCCAGGGCAGGAAGTTGTCCTCAGGTGCAGGAAGTGCAGAGAGTGACAGCAGACATGGGTACTCACAGGAGGACCAGCAAATCCAGCAGGTCCGGGGGGTCCAGCCTGTCCACGCTCACCCTGTGAGAGAAAGGGCCCCAGGAAGAGGTCAGACCCTCTCTGCCTGCCTGAGAATGCTCTCTTCTGAGAGCCCAGAGGAGAGGGGCCTGAACCCATCCATCTGACCCAGCCCCGAGAAAGGACACTGGAAAGTGGCCTTCAGGAAGCTCATTCCAGATTGATGGTCAGAGCATCTGGGTGACCCAAGTCCCTCTGCCTTGATGACATCATGGAGGGTGGGATGCTCTCATTTCCTTCCTCACACTTCCCTCCCAGCCCAGACTCAAGGCCAGGGACCAAGCCTGAGAGGCCAGGATGACAGAAGGGCTGACTCCCTGAGCAGATCAGGGGCCATGAGCTGGGGCAGAAACTCACCGGGGCACCTCGAGCTCCAGCAGTTCCTGCCGGGCCAGGAGGTCCAACTTCTCCCTAAAGGGGAACCAAAGGCCATGCATCAGGTGTGAGAGCAAAGGGTACCCAGGACACCACCAACCTGCTATGTCCTTCCACATCTGCACCCTTTTCAGGGCCCTTACTGAACACACTTTTACCCAAAAGCCAGCCGCTCCATCCTACAGGAATTAATGAGCGAGAAAACCCTCCCTTTTGGCAGACGATGAGGAGGCCGGATGAAGGTTGAGGCAGAAAGAGGGAAGGACCACTCACCTTCTCACCGTTGGCACCAGCAGGACCAGGAGGGCCAATAGGACCAGTCAGACCCTTAGGAGGGAGAAGGTGAGGTGAGAGAGGGCCTTGGTGCACCCTTCCCTGACCTTCAGAACCTCCCACTCTCCCTCTGGCCCCCATTCACACTGCCCCTGTTCCCTTCCCTGACTGTAGTGCTGGTCCCCACAGTCCCTGTAGCCAGTAATCACTTACTCGTCCACCATCCTTCCCTGGGGCTCCCTCGGGGCCTTTCTCACCAACATCACCCTGGAGGACAGAGAAAACAGACCACCTCAGGGGGACCCTCTGGCAACCCCTTTAGCAGTGCAATCCCATTCAGATCTTGCCCCAGAAGGATTAGCTATGGTCCCAGAGTGGGTGACAAGGAGTAACATGAGTGAAATGGCGGAAGGTTGGGGAGGGGTTGTCACTAAACAGCTTTGTATGTGTGTGTGTGGGGGTATCTCCAAATTTCTCAAGAAAGGGGTAACTGGGAGCCTTTCCCATAGGTGCTGGGGAGAGAAGGAGTGTAAGGGGCAGGAACGTGGCCTGATTGTGACTTTGGTGAGTGACATTAAACCTGGTACTTACCCTGTCTCCCTTGGGCCCAGAGATACCAGCTGCTCCCCTCTCACCGGGCATTCCCTGCAGACCTGGAGGGCCCTGAGCCCCAGGGGGGCCAGCTGGGCCAGAAGCACCCTAGGGTGGAAGTCAAGGGGCAGTCAGTGGTGGACAGCACTTCCCCAAGGGACAGTCAGTGGTGAACAGCACTTCCCCAGTGAAGAGCAGAGAATGGGAACCCTCAGCCCCAAACCCCTTCCTCCCAACCTCTCTGCCAGACCTTTATGTCTCCATCTTCTAATCCTCCCTCCTTCTAGTCTTCATTCCTCACACCACACCCTCAGTAAGGCTCCCAAAACTGTCTTGAGAACTAGGATGTACTTACTTTGGGACCATCAGTGCCAGGAGTACCAGGGAGACCACGAGCACCCTGGAGGCCCTGGGACCCAGGAGTGCCACGTTCACCTGGGAAACCTCGTTCACCCTGTGAAACATGAAAAGGGCCTTCAGGGAAGAACAGAAGGGGGAAGGTCCAGGTAGAAGCCAGACCAGGGAGAAGAAGGGAGGGATGCAGGGGAGTGAGTCATGGGTCCTGGACCCAGGAAGGTCGAGTGCTGGGAGATGCAGCAATACTGCTGGGAGAGAGCAGATAGAAGACTCACCCTGGGGCCTACGAGGCCAGGAGCACCAGCTTCACCAGAAACACCCTGGGAAACAAAGAAGGATGTGTGAGAGATGCCTGCTGAGCTCAGAGCCTGCCTTCAATCCTAGATATTCCCCGGCTTCAGAGTCCCTCCTGCCTTCCTGCCCCTGTACCCCGGCTCAAAGAGTCCCACACTCACCTGGTCACCTGGCTTTCCACTTTCACCTGGAGGACCAGGAGGGCCAGGAAGTCCCTAGAAACCAAAGTGACTTGTGTTAGCAAAGGAATGAGTATACTGCCCCATCTTTGCAGGGAAGCCCACAGAGGGGAGCCCAAAGGGAGACAGCAGCAAGCTATGAGTCAGGGATGCTGGGAAACCTCCCAGCCCACTGCTCCTCAGCCAGAGAGTGGGCAACCAGGTCCTGTGCTTGGCAGGGCGTTGAAGAGGAAGTTGGTCCAGCCACCTACCTGGAACCCAGATGGCCCAGGAGCACCCTGCTCGCCTCGCTCTCCAGCAGGTCCCTGCAGAGGAAAAAGGAAAAGGTGAACCCAGGAACCACAGCTAGATTGGCCTGGAGAGCCCATCTGCCTTCTTCCTGCACTGTCTAACAAAAGGGCTGCTTTTGTGTCCCGCTCTCCTCCCCATCTGTGACCTGCGCCCCTTTTAACCAAGTAGGAGCCCACACTGACCCCCCAGGACACCTGCTTCAGCTCAGGAGCTCAGGGTTGGTGTGGTGTCCTGGGTCATTCCAGATCCAGCCATCAGCTCCATTACTGGGGCCCCGAGGTCCTCTCCCCTCCACTTCCTTCCCTGCTTCCACTCCAGCAGCCCAGCACACCCATAGGCCCACCTGGAGAGGCTGGGCAGACACTTACGGAGGGTCCAGGGGGGCCTGCAGCACCAGTCTCACCATCTTTACCAGGAAGACCCTAGAGGGAAAGGAAAGGGGGACAAGGATGTACATCTTGAGTTCTTCAGTGTCCCCACGGTTTCTACACCACTAAACGTCATTTGCAGGTCCTCTCCTCCCTTCTTTCCTGGCCCTCCCTTCCCTCAGTCTTTCTCAGCACTGATCCTCCCGTCTCCATGGGCTTTGGCTAATAGCAACCAAAAGTGGACTCTCAAAGGGTCCTGCCCAGCACAGGACGCAGCCTCAGAAACCCACAGGAGGGATCAGGACCCTGGATCTCCCCAGTTAACACCAAGCCCCAGGCACTGGGAGGGGTACTTACTCTCAGACCAGGAGCACCCGGAAGTCCCTTCTCACCACCTTTGCCAGGTTCTCCCTGGAAGAAAGAGAGTGCAGGACCATGAGGGGTGGGGGTGGGGAGGCTGGGAGGGAGGGAGTACTGATGAGCAGCAAAGGATAAAATGAATGATCAGCTCAGAGGCAGGACTGGGTCCTGACCCGTGGAACAGTGTCATGGCCCTCCTGTAGGACATGAAGGCCAGAGCTGCCCATTGCACTAGCCTGGTTCACTCGATGAGCCAGCCTCTCCCCAGGTGAATAGAAGATGCAAGGGCAGGTTGTTACTTACATTGGCACCTTTGGGACCAGGGAAGCCCATGACACCAGGCTGCCCACGAGTCCCCTGAGGACCTGGAGGACCAGGGCGACCATCTTCACCAGGGGCTCCCTGAAAAAAAAGGACACTATTCTGAGAACATAGTTTACTCTGGTCACATTCATCCAACCACTATTTACTAAGCACCTACTACATGGTAGACACAGTACCAGGCACCGGCCATACACACACAGTATCTGGGATTGACTGAAGTAGAAACCCATACCACATACCGCACACAGGGGCCCCATCTGCAAGAGGCATTGTTTAGCTTAGATGTTCTGTGTGCTTTGTCTTTCCCCATGGAAACACCCAAGTGCATAAATGGAGGTGACATTTTCAGAGCTTAGAGCTTACACAGGCTATACATGGTCCCAGTACCTGTCATCTAGCTCTCTCTGCAATTCTCAAAGTTCGTAGTAGCCCAGGCTACCCCCCTCAAAACTCCTGTCTCCTTTCCTACCTGCTTCCTCAGGAATATTTTCCCAACAGCCCCAGGGTGATAGACTTACAGAAGGACCAACTTTGCCTTGAGGACCAGCATCACCAGGGCGACCAGTGAGACCCTTTGTTGAGGAGAGAAAAGAGAGTGGGTGTCAGGAGCAGATCCCTGAACCTCAAAATCCTGACAGCCCAGAGCTGGAGGGAGCGGACAGAGAGGAGCTGCTCAGAGTCCGAAGCCAAAGGCAAAAGCACGTCCCGTACTCACCCGGGCTCCAGGAAGACCAGGTTCTCCAGGACGGCCAGGGTCACCGTTGGCTCCCTTGGGACCAGCAAGACCACTGGGTCCTCGCTCTCCAGGGGCTCCCTATACACAAGGAGGCAGGAGGAGTAACCAATAGGCCACTTGACCAGGGATGAAGGGAGAACCCCCAGACCCTTTTTCCTCACTCACTTTGGGACCTGCCAAACCATCTTGACCTGGGAAACCACGGTTGCCAGGAGCACCCTAGAAAGGAGGCAGGCAGAAGGAAGGAATTACAAAGGAATTACATTGTAACTTGAGTTACAATGGACTCTAACCCAACTGTGACTGGAGAAAGCCTGTCAGGCCCACCAACCCACAACCCAAATTTCAGGTGCAGCAGATACCACCTGAAGGATTCTGGGAGTTACCCCTTGTCTAACCCCACCTTTCTGGAAGGAGTTCCAACAGTTTCATGTCCTCATAATGAAAGAGGGCACAAGTAAGAGAAGGAATTATGTCCCTGTGCTGGTGAATTAAGAAAGGAGGAGTATAATATCCAGAAGGATCATGGGACTTGGCCAAGACAGCAACAAGGACTCAACTTTCATTTTGAGGTTGTACCTCCAGTGGAATCGGGGGCTCTTTGTCTACTTACTCGTTCTCCAGGGGGACCGATGGGCCCGGCACCACCTGGTTCTCCACGACCACCTCTTTTGCCTTCTTCACCAGCAGGGCCAGGGGCTCCCTGGGGGCCAGCAGGGCCCTAAGGACCAACACAAAAGAGAAGTAGGGTGAGTCTTCACCTGATCCTGGGGCAAGCACTGGCCAGGTGCGTGGAAGAAATGATCGTATCAATTGCTTCAGGGCTGGGGATCTTGGGAAAGAGAGAACACAAAGGGTCAGCCCGGAGCTGAAGTGGCCCAGTGAGAAGACAGGATGGTAGAATTAAAATTGTTCACACTGGCTAAGCCGAAGAGGCCTTGGATTGGCGAGTGGGCTTCAGAGAAGGTAGGCTGTGTGGCTGGGGAAATGGCTCTGAGCCCCTATGGACTGGCTGCTGGGACAGATAAAGGCTCATGGGAAAATACTTACAGGTTCTCCCTTGGGGCCTTGTTCACCTTTGAAGCCAGCAATACCAGGTTCACCCTGAACAAAAAAGAGAGGCAGGGTCTCACACTGGGTTCTCCAAACACCCCGCTAAAGGTGCCCACAGGATATTGGTATGAGACCAGACCAGGAGAGCATGGCAGAAGGACTGGGGGTTGCCTCTAGGGATGCCAACAGGGATTGGGCTTCATCTCAGGCTCTTACCGTCTGACCTTTTGGGCCCAGAGGACCAGTAGCACCTTGAGGGCCAGGAGGACCGCGAGGTCCAGGAAAGCCAGGAGCACCAGCAATCCCAGGAGCACCCTGCCATCAGGAGCAAAAGAGAAGAGGGTTGGAGGAGAGAGGTAAGAGGAAGATTGGCCCCTCCCACCCCAATCTGGGAAGGAGCTCTGGTAGAGTAGTGGTTAAGAATTAGGCTGCTATCCTCAGGGTTATCAGTTCGAAACTACCAGCTGTTCCGCAGGAGAAAGAGGAGGCTTTCTGCTCCCGTAAAGATTTACAGCCTCGGAAACCCTGTACAGGGTCGCTATGAGTCGGAACCGACTCCATGGCACATAATAACAACCCCAATCTGGGAGGGAAGAAGTCCAAGACAACACTTACAGCGGATCCTTTAGCTCCAGGAATACCATCAGTTCCAGGGTTACCCTGAAAAGGGGGACAGGATAATTATTAAATAAGCAGCAAAGAGGAACCACACCCACCTCCAACCCTCAAGGAGTTCTAGGACCAAGGGCTGGGGACAGAGCAATAGGGACGCTGTTGCTGGCTATTCCCAGGGAAGGACTTGGGCTGGAAGGAGACAGGGCTCTGGAGATAGGGAGGGAGGGAGGGTGTTGGGCCAGAATGGAGGTTTGGAGATAGGATCTCCACTTCCCTCACAGTGAAGTATGGCATCAAGAGTGCCAAGATCCCAGACCCTGTGGCCAAACAGAAATTGTACTTACAGAAGCACCAGCAGGCCCAGGGGAGCCGGGGGTCCCAGATTCACCCCGGGGACCTTGAGCGCCTTCAGGACCACGAGCCCCAGTGGGGCCAGCTTCACCCTGGAGGGACACAGAGAGGAGTGAGCTGAAGGGAAGGGACAGATGACACAGACCTCTGTGTGACCATGACACTGGTCACAGAGAAGCTCCTTATTCATCTCCAGGTGGCAGTGATGGGTGAACACTTGAGGGTCAGCAGCACGCACTGCACTGAAGTGTTGCATCATGCAACCTGTGCACACATATTCACACATAGGCCACATTGTATTTTTGTCCCCACCTGACTGAGCAGTTGATTGATGCCTTGCTGCCCTGCCTTCTCTGTTCCTCATGGTTAATCCACACTGTAAACTGTCACAAGTGATGGCACCATTAGGTGCTATGGCAATGGGCTGCTTGCTGGTTCTGTCAGCAAAGCCTCCGCAGTGGCTCTGGCCAGGCCCAACAGGGTGGGATGCAGGCAGCTCAGCCGGGCAGAGCCCCTCTCCCCATCCCTCCTACTGCACTGTCTTATTCAGGAAACGGAGTCCCCAGAGGAGGGCTTCAAATCACATAACTGTCTACTCCCTCAAACTCCTCAGCCCAGGGCACCACCTTGCTCAAGTCTGGCTGACATATGAGCAGTGCCAAGCTTTTGCCAGGCTGGCAAAGAAGGCTGGACCGGGCTCTCTGACTCGACTTTTCCCGGCTCTAAGTGCACTTCAGTTCCCCTTGGCTTCTGGCAATCTCTCCACCACCTCCCACTCCCAAAGTAGACTCGCCTTTCCTTTCATTTTTTCCCTGAAAGTTACAACTTGCTGAGATCCTGGCTCTTTGGATGCCAGAGTCCCTGGGGAGGCCTGCTGACCTGGAGAGAGGGCAGAGCCTCCTCAGGTTTCTCCTCAGAACATTCCTGCTTCACATTTGTAATTATTCTTTTCTAAAGGTCAGACCCCCTCACCTTCCGCTGTCCCTCCTCACAATGAGTCTCCTTCACCCGGCTCCCAGGGCCTCAGACACTGTCTGGTTGCCATGGAAACCCCCAGGAGGGGAAAAGCAACCTGATGCTACTGGCCACATGGAGGCTCCTTATTCATCTCCAGGCGGCAGCGATGGAGAGAATTCCCAGGGATATTCACATTGGAATCCCTCCTGGGCCATAGGGGCCTTTTCCTGAATTGGCTGGCCTCCCACTGGCCTCCATTAATCCGTGGAAGAACTCAATTAATGTGACTTGAGAGAACCAAGCACCCCAAATGAAGCAGAAACAAGAAGGGGAGAGAAGGAAGAATGGACTGTCTCCGTTGTTCTGTGAACTTCTTCCCCCTGTCTACTCTGTTTGGACCCAGAGTCTTTTCAATGTTTAGGATTTCCCCTTGACCTGTGTGCCTTCTTCCCTTCCATTCCTGGTCTTGTCTCCTCTCCCCACCTTTGTCTTTTGGCTACCTTTCGTCCCACTCTGAAGTTGTAACTGTATCTCCAGGCTTCTGTTGTTCCTCTTTTTTACTTTCCAGTCCCTCCAAGGAGAGCAGTGGTGGGTGGGGTGGGAGACACTTATGAGAATGGAAGAGATGCTTACTTATCAAAGGAGCAGTTAGTAAAGGTTCTGGAGAAAGGGAGTTTGGAATGTTCATCTGGTTCAAGAATCCAGCAGCAAGGCAACCTACCTTAGCACCAGGAGCACCAGGGAAGCCAGGACCACCAGCAGGACCAACAGGACCCTGAAGAGAGGTGGGTGGGAGGTGAATGTTGTTTCTGGACAGAATTGCTTAGCCTCCCCAGGGAGCCACCCCACCCATCTCCCCGTTACACCTTTGTATTGATTCTATTCTACATCCATCTTGACTAAACTGTCCTTATCACCAATATCCCCCGGAAGCTCAGGGAGAACTTGCTTTGCCTGGCAAAATGAGTTTCTTTTGACTATGAACACGGTAAGAAGCAGACATTTCTTTGAATCCCCTCCTTCAAAAACCTGCAGAAGATGAAATGAGCTTACCGGAGGCCCTGCAGGACCAGGCTGACCATCATTGCCACGGGCACCCTGTGAACAACAAACAGGAAGCGGCCTGTGAGAGACTCCCATACACCCAGCCACCCCCTGCCCGTAGGTCCCACCCTGGACAACCTGGAAGACACTGTGCTGCGGTGTCCCAGGGGTGGGCATGAAGATGGCAAGGCTATGATGCAAGACATTCCCCAGGAGAAAAAATGGCCCCAGAATTCCTCAAGGGTGTCTGTGTAGGTGAGGGGCAGCAATGGTAGGCTTGTTGTTAGCTCTTATGAGCTATCACAATTCCAAGTCATGGTGATCCCATGTGTGTTACACTAAAACTGTGCTCCATACGGTTTTCAGTAGCTGATTTTTCCATACATTGCCAGGTCTTTCTATTGCAGTGGCTCTGGGTGGACTCCAACCTCCATGCTTTCAGTTAGCAGTCCAAGGTGTGACGGTTTGCACCACCAAGGGACTTCAGTATGAAGCTAATAGGATGCATAAGTAATTTCCCAGCTACCCCACCATTCTTTAAATTTCAATTTAGACCTTGTTGTTGTTGTTTGGTGCCATCGAGTCGGTATCCACTCATAGCGACCTTATGCACAGCAGAACGAAACACTGCCCGATCCTGGGCCAACCTCACTACTGTTGCCACACTTGAGTCCATCAATGTTGCCACTTGGCCAATCCATCTCATTGGGGGTCTTCCTCTTTTTCTCTGACCCTCCACCTTACCAAACATGATATCCTTCTCCAGTAACTGGTCCCTCCTGACAATATGTCTGAAGTATGAGACACGAAGTTTAGACCTTACCTATCCCCAATCTCAAGGCCGAGTTTGAAAACTCAATCAATGAGAAGAACTAAACAGCGTAGCAGCAAGCTTGAGTCAGTACTTGCCACCTTCTACCAGTGGGAAGAAGCCCTCTCCGTTAAGGCCTCAACTCCAGGGGGCCCCCACGTTTTGGTCTTTTCCAGAATCCTCCCCAGACAACTTGCTCCTGAGGAAAACAGAGGCCATAGGATATTTGTTGCTGGCCCATGAGGAAAGCATCATGATGGGAACAGGCCCTCGGCCCAAAGGTCTTCCAAGACTACATCTGAATCTGTGCTACTGAGAGTCATTTCCTTTACCCAGAAAGGGAATGCTGTCAGCTTCGCATCTCTAGGACTACTACGCACTGAGATTGTTCTTTCTGGTGGTGGCGAGCACTTCCTGGTTTCTCTCCCAGGGTCCCTCAGGGCCCTGAGAACAAACACTTTACTCAAGCTCTGGATGGAGAGGGATGAAGCAGGCCAGGAGGTGGCCTGACCTCTCCCCTGCTGGGCCTGCCTGCCTATCTTGACATCTCCTCTGAAGCCACTGGAGAAAAATACTTTCAGGGGACCTCACATATTAAATCCTCCTCCTGGCTACAGCCCACTTCTCATTGAGACTCACCAGATTGGCATCAAGCAGCAAAGCAAAAAAAATGTCAGGGATATAAAACCTCAGTACAGCCCGCAGCCCTTCTGGGCCTGCCTGGCCACTTAGAGGATAGAATGTTCCTGGGAAGTTCTGGAGCATCTTCTCCCCATGTGTCAGCTGGAGGATATGCCAGGGCTGGGCACGAGTGAGGAGAGTGGCCATGTGGCTCCGAGAAGCCAGAGTTGGGCTGTTATCTGCCAGCTCTCCCTGGAGTAAGGCTGTGTCCAGGGATGAGTTGAGGAAGCCTGGTTCAAAGCAGGGCATGTGACCACAGCAGGCAGAGGCTGGCCCAGCCCAATCCTCAGCCTCGCCTGGTGCCAGACCTGCACTTGGAACTATGTGAGCTGCCCTTTCTGGGGCCTGCACACTTCGAACACTCAACAGCTAACTTCTGAGAGCCCAAGCATTCGTAACAAGGAGTCTGATTGGAGGTCAGAGGAAGGAGAGGTAAAGAAGGGCAACCTTGTAAGTCAAACTCTACCCACACCCTGTTAGCCTTAGTACTACTGTGTGGTCAGTAAACTACAAGGAGAATGGAGAAGGAGCGCGGCTCTGCCCAGGAAGGAGAGATAGCGAGGACAGGAAATGCAAGTCATTTCTAGCCCTTTGTGGGGTGAGGCCACAGTGGCTCAGTCTTGCTAGAAAGTCCTGCCATTAGCCTCAAGCCGGGGTTGTGCTAAGCTGTAGAAATAGCAGTGTTTCTTGGCAGGCGGCTGCTCTCTAATCCCCTCACACAGAGTGACCTGGGGCAAGGCACTTGAGCAGCGTTGGCTGACAAATGAGGGTCGTGGCTGCTTGTTACTCCACGGTTCTGCTTCTGAAGGAGATTTCTGCCAAACAGATACATTCTCTGGAAAGCAGCACAGCTGAGCGAAGTCGGTTGATTTTGGCCAGCCCTCCCCTGTGAGGAGGAGCCACAGAGCTTGGGTGGCTGGGAGTTCAGAATCAACAGAAAGCATAATCTTTCTTAAACAGGGTTTTCTTCACATTACTCACCTGACCAACCACCTATCAGAACTCGCTACTGCCTAAGGGACCGGAGCTAAACACCTCCATTGGCTCCCTCTATTGGCTCATTTCTCACATAAACCAGAGTCCATGCTGTGGTTTGTGGGTGCACAGCATCATTTATCTCAAACTGTTTAACCTTCTGTGCCAAAAGAAACCTCGGTTCCTTCTTCTCTAAAATGGGGAGAATAATGGAAAAATCCTCACAAAATTTAGGGGCAGATTGAACGAAAAGAAAGCATACAAGATATTGAGAAGTGGTGGAGCAGTGGTGTAGTGCTCAAGTATTCAGCTGCTAACTGAAAAGTGGGCAATTTGAACACACCAGCCTCTCCATGGGAGAACCGTGTGGCTGTTTCTGTAATGATTGTTGTTGTTGTTGTTGTTGTTATGTGCTGTGGAGTCGGTTCCGACTCACAGCGACCCTGTACAGGGTTTCTGAGGCTGTAAATGTTTACGGGAACAGAAAGTCTCCTCTTTCTCCTGCAGAACAGCTGATAGTTTTGAACTGCTGACCTTGCGGCCCACAGCCCGATTCGTAACCACTACGCTACCAGAGTTCCTCAAAAAATCCAATGAGTCAGTTCTACACTGTCCTACAGGGTCACGATGCATCTGAATTGACCCGATGGCAACAAGTTTGGTTTTAATTTGATGTTATTGTTGTTAGGTAGCGACCGTATGCATAATAGAAGGAAACACCGCCCAGTCCTGTGCCAGCCTCACAATTGTTGCTATGCTTATGAGTCGGGCTACTGATATCATATTTTATTTTTATCAGCAGTCACCTGCAGCAGCATCAAACGTGAGGGACCCGCAAGCTGATGCTGAAAACCAGTTACAGTCAAGTCAATACTGACTTTTGGCAACCCCACACATGTCAGAGTAGAACTGTGTTCCATAGGGTTTTCAATGACTAACTTTTCGGAGGACGTAGATCCTCTAGTCCTTTCTTTTAAGGTGCCTCAGGGTGGACTTGAACAGCAAACCAGCCAAGACTCTGTGTAAGATGCCAATTGTTACTCCTACGCCTACCCCCCAGTCATCTGAGCAGTTCAAAAGAACTGAGCTTATCCTGACGTCCTATTTAGTCTATTCAAGCCTGTTCACATCTCACCCTGGACTGGCTGGGGAGTGGGGTGATTGCCTGAATAATTCAGACTGGTTAAAACCGAGCACTGCATTGGCTACCCAAAGTGGGGGGAATACAAAGGCAAGAAGTGACTGGCTTCCAAGCTTTCAAGAGGGAGCCTAGATCCATTGGGTGTGGAGGAAGGTAGAATCTCCAGTCTAGGCAGGGCTGGTGAAAGGAAATGTGGATGGGTCTCTTGTGATACAATAGTGAATAATTGTTATCAGGATTGATTGTGAGGGTTGGAAATGTAAAGGTAGATATTTTGTAGCAAGGAGGGGAGTGATTAACTTTTCAGTCTAGGAGCGGAGGTCCATCAAGGGAGAAGAGTGGAGAGCGGGACCCTACCCAGAGAAGCAGTGATGCCTAAGATGGAGGCAGAGACTTGGAGAGATGGAGCAGTTGGGGGCTTTAGACCCAGAGAGGGACTGTGTGCTGAAGACCTGGAAGGGGGGGGCAGGCTTGTAGTGTATACCCTTTGGTTGGTTGATGATGTTTGGAGGGGATTGTAATCATGGCAATGAAATGATATACAATAGGATGAATGTAAAGCTAATGTTCTCACATGTAAACTATCACATAATTCACAATAAAACATTAAAAAACAAACAAAAAAACCGAGTCCTGCTCTCTCACCAACAAACCCTCCCATCACCAGGCCCTCTCCTTCAACTGCGGAGACCCAGCTTGGGAACGGCACACTCACGGTGAATTCTTATGGGGATAACAATAGTCTTCAAACCATGTGGTTGTTTGGAAGGTTAACAAAATAACCCTATAGGAAAATGGTCTGTAGACTTGAAAATGCTGGGCCAAGGTGGCTTTGGGCTTTGTCAGTGACTCACCGCAGTACCGGCAGGGCCAGTGCGTCCTCTCTCACCAGGCAGACCGCGGGGACCCTGGAACATACGTAAGGCGAGAACAAGCAGGAGTTGGTTTACGCACACTCTGTAGAGGACCTTCTCCCTGGATACCGGACGGTGGTACTATTCCTGACCAAGTTACCATTCTGACTCACATCATACACCAAAAACTTTCTATCCACAGGCGCTCCTGTTGTGATGTGCCGTGGAGTCAGTTCTGACTCATAGCAACCCTGTACAGGGTTTCCGAGGCTATGAATTTTTACCGGAGCAGAAAGCCTCATCTTTCTCCTATGGAACAGCTGGTAGTTTCAAACTGGTGATCAAGGTTAGCAGCCCAGTTCATAACCAGATGCTCCTACTATTGCCAAAATGTGGAGAATATTCATGAATTGAAACGTATTTTAATGTGGTAACAGGGCCGCCTCTTTCAGGAAAATGTTGGTGAAATGTGGTACAAATCATCTAGCCAATACATTTTGCTTTCTGTTCATAATCTGATCCGATCTGCAAGACTGGATCTCTACTTTCCACAAAGGGAGCACCAATGTCCAGAATGCAACCATTTGCTGAGCATGGGAGATATCTGTATGAACAATATCTACACAGCCCTCCCATGAGGAGATGTTCATACTCACCATGGGGCCCGGAGCACCATTCTCGCCTGCAGAACCACTCTCACCCTGAAAAAAAGACCCACAGGGTCAATGCCTGTGACCACATTTCTAGTCCCCAGAAAACTCCCAAGGACGAAACTGAAACTCTGGTCATCCTAACCAACACCAATCCACCCAAACTTCACTCTGAGAAGGACAGCTCCTTAAGATGGCTGATTGGATGTTCCCAAACAAAGTTGCTCTGATGTCCTAACCCCACCAAGCACAACAGCACCTTCTCAGCTGGAAAAAGAGGCTCCTGGTTGTCTCCCTTGCACCCACATCCCCAGGTGGATCCTTACCTTAGCACCTGGAGCTCCTGCTTCTCCCTTAGCACCATCTAGACCTGGGTAACCCTAAGGGACAAGAGAAAATATTTCATCACGCTTTGGGAAACCTGAACAGAAACCAGCACACATACCACTAGATGCCCTTTTCTCCCTGAGGAAACCCCATCCTTCCAACACGCCACCATGATACTTACTCTGTGACCTTTGACACCAGGAAGTCCTGGGGTTCCTGGGAAGCCGCGAGCACCCTGCAATTGCAAGAGGAAATGTTCAGGGCCCAGAAGAGAATAGCAAGGTCAAAGCTGCTCCGGGCTGCTAGCAGACCTTCAGAGCCAACTCCCGAGGCTGCTGAAGAGCCATCATGGATCTCAGTACATGGACAGCTGTTTTAGTAAGCCCAGGAAGACCCCCACTGAGCCTCACCCCTCCATATTATGCAAATAAGTATAAATAATAACTGCCCAGCCACCTGTGGGCCAGTTTTAGGAATCACAGTGGATCAATAAATATGAAGGTGTGACTGATATATTGTTGTACTTAGTTTTGGGGTCCTGGTGTGGTTCTATAGAATAAGCATTGAACTGTTAATTGCAAGGTCAGTGGTTCAAACCCACCAAACTGCTCCTCTCAGAAACAGTGGGAATTCACTGGATAACATTCAATAACAACAAATATACTCATTTTGTTGCTGTTGTTAAGTGCTTCTGAATCCATTTCATTCATAGCAACCCCACGTGACAGAGTAGAACTGCCCCACAGGGTTTCCTAGCCTCTAATCTTTGCGGAAACAGATTGGCAGATCTTTCTCCTGCAGAGATGCTGAGTGGGTTCGAACCACCAACCTTTTGGTAAGCAATTGAGCACTTAACCATGGTCAAAAAATGAATTGGAACTGGATGATCTGAGACTGAGGCTACTGACTTGAACCCAAGGAGGTGTGTCAGGGAATGGAGATTGAGGCTGGGAAAGATGCTCCCTTACCTGAGGACCAGGAGGGCCTCTTTCACCAGATTTCCCAGGCTTTCCAGCTTCACCCTGAAGAGAGAGCGAGAGATCTCAGCTTTCTTCCAGACAGGTTGGCAGAGTTAGCATACTTTAGGAAGGGCATCTCTCCTCCCAGCCCTCCAGACCTTTGCCCACTTGCTTACTCATCTCCCTCCAATTGTCATATAGTCATTGAGCAAGCTCCTGCCCTCACCCTGCCACCGACTTCCCCTAGAAGGTTTTGCCTCTTCTCTCTTAGGCTTTGCTGGCGGGACCAGCTCTCCCTAACCTTGAGAAGCATTACTGTCTAATGATATTCATAAAAACACTCAAGAATGCCAACTCTGCCTCTCCACTTCCCTCGCATGCTTTGCAGACATCCTGACTCGGATGGAGCTTTTTCTAACTCATTTACAATTAAGATAATGTTGGGTGGGTGAATGTTTCTTTATTTTCCCTTCTCCACATCTTTTCCCCTTGTGTTTTTCCTCTCCCTTCTCTGGTTTCTCAATTTCCTTTCTCAGGGTTAATGGTGTTTTAATTATTTCCCTTCTCATTGGATCCCAGGGACCTTGCAAGCTAAGTCTCAAGTAGGAAGGCAGAGAGTAGACAGAGTCGGGTTTACAACTGACTAGTGCTGTGCCTTAGGATACTGCCGCCCTGCGCCAAGCCAAAGATGCATCCATAGCAGTTCCCTGTTCCCACACAATCTCTCTAGGTGCTGCCAAAGGAGGCAACCCCTCATCGGACTACTCAGTTGTACTCACATCATCACCAGGTTTTCCTGGGGGGCCAGGAGGGCCACGGGGACCCATGGGACCCTACAAACAAAACAAGAGTTTTTAGAGACAGCTGTTGGGAGAAGGTATCTAATCATCAAACAAAACTTTAGGGTAGTAGCTTTTGTGAACTAGTTCTCCTGCAAGAAAGGACACAAAAGGGAAACTGCAGCACTGAGAGAGCAACAATGCTGAGCAACCATAGTGTGGGGCAGCACACAGCACAGGACAGGGGGTGACCGTGACATGGGAACTAGTGACAGTTCTGGTAGACCTTGTCCCATTTGATTCTCCATCAGTGTTCCCCATAGCTAAGAAGCGAGATGTGGAATTTTGTCTGGGTCACACTGCACTGAGGGAAAGAGCTGGGCCAGTTGGGATCTGGGGTTCTGACGGGTGGGTCACGAGAGGCTTTTCAGGAGATGGGGGCTGGGTCCTGGTAATACTCACAGAAACTCCAGGTTCACCAGGTTCACCAGGATTGCCTTGAAATCCTTGAGGTCCCTAAAAAGCAAAGTGAAGACACCATGTTGACTCCTCAAAGTGTGCGAAAACATCAGAGATCTTGACAAGCATCTATGATACCACAGAGAAGAAAAGATGTAGCACTTACAGGGGCACCGGCAGGGCCTGGAGGTCCTCGTGGTCCCATGGGGCCCTGTAATGGACCAAAAAATGAAAAGCTTTATTAGAAATGTTTTGCTAGCGGCATCCAGTGTGCTGCCTTCCCCAGCCAAAGGCCAGGACAAAAGACAAGGAGTTACTCTGTAGGCAGGGGGCCTATGGCGGCTGCTCCCTCTCATTTCCTACCCCCCACGCCACAATCTATTTTATTTATAGGCATGATTTAGACAGAGAAGCTGGCCTTGCTTTTGCCTGGAAAGCAGCCATGTTTACTAAGGTCTGAGTTTCATTTAGCATGTGCCAAGTCAAGCTGCAGGGCTGAGATTTCCTGCTGGAAGTCTTGTGGATGCTGAAGAACAGTAGCTGCTGTCTGCATTCTTCAGTTCTAATTCCAAGAGCAATAGCAACTGGCCTTCTAACAGATCAGCCTATATGCATCTCTCCATCCTCATTCTTCTTAGCTGTTCCAGTGCATCATTGAAACTGGCACCCATCATCATTAAAATCCAAATGCAGAAACTGGCTAACTACCTGAGAAGTTACATAACGGATGCAGAAGAACTGCTCTAAGCAATTATCTCTAAAGTGGAGGTTGTCAAAGTCTCTGGCTCGGCTAAGGGCTCTCCTACCATCTGGGCTGGAAAGAGCTGAAGTCTTTTCTTACCATTGGCCCTTGCATCACTCCCATCTGGGCCCCTCCAGCTTTCTCATCAAATCCTCCAGCCATCTGGGCAGCAAAGTTCTGTAAATAAACCAAACAACATCCAGAGCTCGAGAGGCTTGAGATCTTTCCTACTTGATAAGGCTAAGCAATATCTGAAGAGGAAGAACTCTATTAGATAAATGCTTATTGTAAAGATAAAAGACTAACTTAACATTGATCAGAACAACCAAGGAGTCCTGGAAAATAGTTTGGGAAGCATGTTATTAGATGACAGTGACTAAATAAACTCCCTGGAAGATGAAGGATTATTTGGCAGGATTATCAATTACCTGCATTTCATTGTATAAAATTATTTTAAAATTTGAATGTACTAAGTACATTATTTAACATATATTGAGAAATATAACTAAAATATCACTTTAGAAAGGTATTTCTAAAAATTAAACTTCCAAGATTTTAATGTCCAACAAATAAAATCAACAGTCTTGAAATAATTCAGCGAAGAATAGAGTAGGCATCAGTGAGTCCATTTATGTTGAGGAATTTAAAACAAGCAAACATCAAAATGATGGACCTGCAGAAACTGGGCAATAATACAATTTGGTGATTGGTTTAATTCCAAAAATGGCTTTACCTACACACCTTCCCTCAGTGGGGTTCTTTCATGAGAATGAATAATTGCTTGGAATGTACTTGGCAAGGAACAAGAATAAAGCCTTCCAAGGACAGTGGTCACTCTTCTTCCAGGGAAACACAAGTGCCCAGTCATCCTCTCTCCTAACTACCTCCCCCTTTGTCCCCTAAGCAACCACACAGTGCAGGTGCCAGGGAGGCAGGTAACTGAAGACCTTTTTTGCAGAAACCCAGCGAATGAAAAAGAAAAAAAAAAATCCAGCCGTTAGTACCACAGCCTCATGCCTAATATGTGATTCCACTAAATTATAGGCCTGGGGAGAAGCCCATGGGGAGGCTATGTACACACCGCTGGCCACCTTCGGAGGCAGCCAGGTAAGTGCAAGTAGCAATTTAAAAGCCACATCTCTGGAAGAATAGCCTGAAGGAAGGGGAAGTAAGGATACTCACTCCACCAAGACCAGGGGGGCCAGGGGGGCCAGGAGGGCCAGGGGGGCCAGGATTTCCAGGGGTCCCAGGCTCTCCATCTCGACCACGAGGTCCAGGGGCACCCTTGGCAGAAAGAGAAAAAGGCACCAATGTAAAATAGTACTTATTCAAGAGCCATCCGACTACAGACTGCCTTTAGGGAGATCACCAGGCATGTGGAGGGGTCTTAGAGGACTTGGGGAGTACTCAAGCGATGCTGTTTCTCTACTCACTTTTTCACCTTTGTCACCACGATCACCTCTGGGGCCTTGTTCACCTGCAGGTCCCTGAAGATGAAGAAACTGTTTAGATGACAGCACAGTCGGAGCTCTGCATATCAGTGACTCCAGGGCAAAGAGGAAGGGATGGAGGGAAGGCTTTCTCCTTTCTTTACCTGGGGCCCAGGAGGTCCTTTGGGTCCTACAACCTGTCCAACAGGAAGAAAAGTTAGAAAGGAGCACAGGCAAACAGCACATTTAAAGCAGCAGATGCAAGCTAGTGTAAGAATTATTTACACTTACATCCTTAATGTCTCCAGGTTCACCTTTCTGTCCCTGAAATGGAAACGTTTTTGGGATTAAACTGAGCAAAGCCATGTAATCCCAGGTACCAAAACCTACCCAGCAGCCCCACCATTAAGGTGCCCTCTGAAACAGACTGAACCACAAGGGCATTTTGAACCAAAAGTCTTCAGAAACCCTACTCAGGGTCGCTATGAGTTGGAACCAACTCAACAGCACTTAACAACAGCAACAGGCAATGTTAGCACAGTATTACTTCAGAAGGAGGGAATATAAAGGCAAAAGCAAAACAACTCACCTTTGGTCCTAGTTGTCCTGCAAAAGAAAAGAGAGAGAAAAAAGAGGAAGAAGGAGAGTGTGAGATTCATGAGATGAATAAGAATGACTCATGTCACTCAAATACTCTGTAGAAATCAAACAAGAAAAAGACACAACCAAAGAGGGAGGCAGCTTCCTGTTACTCCTCTGAACCCCGCTGTTGGGTGTTAGGGCCACTGAGGTCCTGAGATTGCTGAGATCCCATGAGGAATGGAGGTGACCCAGACTTTGTTATTCAAGTTAGTCAAGCAGTCAGCATGCAAAAGAATGGAGTAAGGGATGTACAAGGAGAAAATGAAGAGCCCCAGACCTAATCAGCCACAGAAAAGGAAAGCAAGCAACCAAAACGGACAACCCAACAGAGTAGGACGCCCCTCTGGCACCCCAACCCCTCCCAGAAGAAGAGCTGAGTACTTAGAAAGGTCTTACGTTAGAGCTGGGTCTCCTTGAAGCAAGCACAAAAAAACAGCAGGGCACAGAAGTTACAAAAAGCACTTTAGCCATCACCACCCCAAATCAATAACCCTCCCATCTGTAGCAACAAAAGGGTAGAGGCAATCAACTCTTCACACACATGGGCCCCTCAAAAGTGATCTGGGGCTCTGAATCAGAAAAACAGCTTCCCATAGGAACCAGTGTGGTGAAGTGTTAGAAAAGGCAACTTCTCAATTCCCCTTTACCTGTGTTCTCTTCCTTGAGCAGGGAGGGAACAATGAGTACTGCCCAAGAAGCCTAGACGTGTGTCCCTATCAACTTTGCAGGGAGACTATGCCATGGGTTTCAGTGCTGGGGAGAGGTCACCTGCACATCACTAGTTCCAGCTGGGAGTGAACTATTCACCATAGTGCAGGGGCCCAGCCCCACTTCCACCTCTCACCAAAAGAACTCCAAAAGCCCAGCGTGTCCTTCTATTATTAACCTGCTTCTTAACTGGCACTCAGCTTTGAAGAGGAAAAACAAAAAGGAAACTACCCCCAATGGTCCATATTTCAGAAAGGGAACCAGCCCCCTTTGCCTCCCCATGAGCTGGCAGAGGTTTCTCCATACTGAGAAAGCCTATCTTTGGAGGTCTTCTTTGAAGAAGACAAGGTGTGGTGGCAGAGGAGAAATTAATTTGTGATTCAGCCAGACAGAGTACTTAATCTTCATGTGGTTCTACTAATTTTCAGAGATGATTCCCAAAAGAATAGTGTTATGGAATCCAATCTGTCCTTCCACGTGTCTTAGAGCCATATGAGTGGAGGCATTTGGTAAGGAAGGACCCCTATAGTGTCTGAGACTCATTCAGTTCCAACTTGCATGGTATGAGGTATGTGGTATGAGTGAGAAGTTGCCTTTCCTCTCTGCCCCTGTTGCTGGGGTCCCATGGATAACCAGCCCCTCTGCTGGACAGAGGTGACCAGCATCCATGAGAAAGCTTTTGCTGCACCCACAAGTAATTTATTTATGTGGAACAGGAAATAAATAAATTACGACCACTGGCAGTGGCGAGGTCAGTTGGGCAGATGGGGCAGCATTCTCCGAAGGGGATCTCGGGGCTGAGGCAGTCTTTCATGTCTTCACAGATTATGTCGTCGCAGAGGACAGTCCCAGTGTCACAGACACAGATCCGGCAGGGTTCGGGCTTCCACACATCCTTATCATTATACCTTTGCCCATCCTGCTCACAGCTGCCAGCCTCCTCTGTGCCAAGGGCAGGGGCAGAGGAAGCAGAGAGCCAAGGGAAGGAGGCAGGAGGGAACCAGAAGAGAAAAAGAGAAAGAGGTTGCAGTCAACGTGACATCATTTCAAAGCTGAAGAATGGGCTCAAGCCACCTGAACATAGGTGACTTAAATATGATGCTTCCAAGAAAGCATTAATTCTCCCATGCAGTCAACAAATATTTATTGTATGCCCTGCACTGTGTTGTCCATTCGTTAGTGAAAATCTTGATCTGGCAATGAAGTAGAATAGTTTCGGTACTCATAATAATGGGAGGGTAGAGAGATTGGCGAATGAGTTGGAGGAGACTAAACTGGGACTGTGGGACTGAGACCCTAACGGAACCTGGGAAATGGTAACATGCCCTCACACAAAAGAGAAAAGAGACCTTGTTTTTGCTGCCTTCCTCTGGAATTGTGATAGTTGCTAAATACAACTGAGCTAAAATTCTGAGAGAATGTAGAAAACTGTACCCACAAAAATTAGAATCTATAAAGAGCTGGCTCCAAAGGGGAATATGTAATTGGGAGAGGGGTTGCCAAAGGAGTAAGAAGAAGCCTTTGGACTTAGAACCTGGTCCCATTTTGTAAACCGCATTAGAATTAGGATCAATTTGTAAAGAGGGATAGGTAGGGCCAACCAAACAACACTTGAGACAGGAAGAAGCTAATAAATAAATACTTTCGGAGGTAAGCAGGATCAAAGGGTCTCTGTGCTGACCTCCAGCTAGAGCCCACCTGGAAAAGCCCAACTTCTGTCTGCATGATGTTGTTGTTGTTGTTGAGTGCCATTGAGTCGTTCCGACTCATAGCGACCATGTATAGGGTTTCCAAGGGGCTTTGAACTGCTTGCTGACCTTGTGATTCACAGTCCAGTGCTTATCCTACAGCACCACACCGGGAGTCCTCTGTCTGAATACAACACTCCAATCTGGAGGGAAAACGAGGCGTTGGACGCTTGTCTTCTGCTAAAATCAGCCTGTCTAGGCCTGGCCTTCTCCAAGAATGCAGACGAAGAACAGCACAGACTAGTCCCTCTTCACAAGCGCCCTGCCGTCTGGAATTCACGTTGCAAATGAAACTTGTGCTGACAAGAGTGTTCCTAAAAGTGCCAAGGGGCTGAAGAGCCCCGCACCACGTGCTAGGGAGGGCCCCTGAGCTGTTTTTCTCATCAAAATCCCCAAGGCAATGGCAGCAGCTGGGCAGGAATAGTATGAAAGAGACACAAACCAGGTGGGCGGGGAAAGAAACGGGTCTGTCCATAGCTCTTTAAGGGGCTAGGAGAAAATCTAAAGATAAGCGTTTCTTTTTTTTTCTTGTCCACTAGAAGAAACTCACTTAGCGTTTAGGCAAAATAATCAGGGCGGGATTTTATCTCCGGGGACATAAAGGGGGTTGCTGGGACACACTCACCACTGTGGAAAGTCCGCGGAAGGGAAAGGGGAGGAGAGAGGGACCTCGACTAATGGCCTCCAGTCCTGCTTAAGGAATAGTGCACCCTCACCCTGGAGGCCCAAGGGAGGAAAGAGTGGAAAATGCTGGAAGGAGGAGGTGTACCCTCAATGAGGATCGGGTTTCCCTAGGATGGTTGGCCCGGGGCTGCTGGGTGTGAGAGCCGCTGTAGTTGTGGATACCGACACTGCTGGCCCACAGACACTGGGAGGATGAAAAGTGGGATTAAGTGACTGCCCCAGAAAGGAGCCAGCAACGTAACTCAATCTATTAGGTGTGGACGCAGGAGCCCAGCACCATCATAATTGCTGCTGGAAAACAGCTGCTGATAGCATCCCGGCGCGCCCGATAGGGTTCCTCTCATTACCTGCAGCGCCATATAAGTGACTCTTTGTGGCAGGCCAATAAAAAAGCTGCTTCTTTCGGGGAACTGTTTTGCTTCTCCGCCACTTTGAGCAGGGCTGGAGGCCGGGAGGTGGCGGCGGGCGGGCACAGGGGGGCATTGTGGGAGAGGGGATCGGGGACTCCGGGGGAAACCCACCTCTCATGAATGGGGCTTTTCTCGAGCGCACACAGAGCCCGATTCACTGGTCTTCCGCGGGACCAGTTTAAATAAATACGGGCAGCGTTTCAGCCCCATCTGGAAACCATCGCTGCCAATCTCCCAACGCAAACAAGTCTCACAAAGAGGGATTGAGGTCTCTGCCCCAGTTGATGGGCACTTTCAAAGCAGAGGGCTGTGAAATGCAGTTGTGGGTCTGAGATGCCGCTGCCAGCAAGTTTCTCAAACTCGTGGAAAACTCGCGAGGGGCATGGCGGGCTCTGTATCGATTACCCACTGCGGTCGAATCGGACTCAGAGCGACTCTATAGGACAGAATAGGGTTTCCAAGTCTATAAATCTTTACGGAAGCAGACTGCTCTATCTTTCTCCTGCAGTGGTAGATTCCAGCCACTGACCTTTTCGGTTAGCAGCCGAGACTTTAACCACTGCGCCACCAGGGTTCCTTGCCGGGGTTCTGACTTTCCTAAAGTCCACGCAGCCTGTGCCTTGCCCCACGTCACATCTTTGGGGCCAAAGTCAGGAGTGGGGTGGAGTGGAGTGGGATGGGAGTGGGGTGGAATAGGGTGGGAGTGAGGAGGGGATGTCACAAAGGTGAGATGCGCCAGGGCGCAAAGTCAGCCCTTGGGCGCAGAATCACACTCCCTCTGGGAGGAGGAGGGGCGATGGGAAGGCTTGGGGCTCGAGGAACTATGGGATTCATTCTCTCTTGCGTAAAGATGCGTTGGTGAGAACCCTCTGCCATTTAAGCGAATGTCTGTAATACCAGATGGAGATCTGGGGATTGCTTTAGGTTCACCCAATTTATTCTGTTACACATTAAGACAAAGGTTGGTCAAAAAGACAGTTTCGTGGATGTGTGCACGTAAATTTAGAAATAATATAGTAAGTTTGAGCCCTGGGCCACATATGGACATACTGTGTTCCGCAAATATCCGGGAGTGAGTCTTCCCTTTAGCGCAACACAGGCCAACCAGACCCGAGTCTGCTGCCGGGCTCCAGCCCTACCCCAGTCGGTTCTTTGGCGCTAAAGAACGGAAAGTCCTCCTGGTTCTGGCGCCTTCCAAACTATCTCTGGAGACAGTCAGGTGGCAAGTGAGAGCTCAGTCTCGTGGGCAGAAAAAAAGACTTTTTGATTCAAACATCACCACCTCCCACCCCCCAATTTTCCTGGCGATTGATTTACAATCTGTAACATACAAAGACAGGACTGGAATCCTAGCCTTCGGAAACTTGCCCAAACACGTGGAGAAAAAAGGGGGGGAAAAAAAAAACTTCTCTACCTAATACACTTTCCATGCAACGTTTGTCCTGAATATTATCCCAGGCAATGGGACTTTACCAAGGGAGGCAGTGGAAAGGTGCAGTACGAGACGCGTTTGGACCACACTGCAACATTGCCAAGCCACCCTTAGTTTATTGGGTTGAAATCGTTACAGCAATTGATTAGTCATGTGTCCCCTCCCCTGCTTCTTTCTTTCTCTCTCCCTTTCTCTCTCTCTGTCTCATACACACACACACACCAGCCACCAGGCTCCGGGAGTTCCAGAAATGTACTCTTTCTGGAGTTCCAGAAATGTAGTATCTGGGGGGAAGGGGAAAAGACGGCGGGAAGGGGACGCTAATCTGAGGGCCCGTTAGAAGAGCACCGTCTGATTGAAATGCTAACGCTCTTCAGATTATCTCCCTACGGGAAGTTTCTGGACCCTTTATGAGAAGAGAGGCAGGTACAAACCAAGATGTAAGTGAAGGCTGCACATTACTCCAGGACCAGGCAAAGGGGAGCAGGGAGGGATTCCAGAGAGCCGCAGAGGTCTTCGAGTAACCTCTCCGAAACTATTCTTTGTGACCTCGGATTTCGGCCCACCAGTTTCAGAGCATCGCTTTTGTTTAACTCCCCTTTAAATTCCCCAGTCACTAATCCCTGGACAAGACCACGAAGTTAACTTTACTCCTTGGCGCTTGCCAGCTCGCTCTCTCTCCTACTCTAAGACCGATGGGCCATGACCTGTTTTGCTGAACTCGCAGTGCCTCGGCCAGGCGAGTTGTGCGCGTGTGCGCCTAGTTACCAAAGTTAGAAGAAAAGAGCGCGCTTAAATCTGTGCTCAAAACTCTCGGACTCAACACTTTGTACGTTCAATATTCCTGAACAACGTTAACAATCCGCTACAGCACGAAGGGCTCACCCACTGAGCCCAGACTCGCAGAACTTCGCTTCGCTAGCTCTCGCACATCCTGCAGCAATGTCTCGGAAGCTATGGTCCAGGGACCCACTGTAACGGAGACTCTAGACACGGGGCCGGGTGGGAGCCAGGGTGAAGGACGCGGAGGGGCGCTCGGAAAGGAGGCAGGTAGGAGTGGCTGGACGACTTACGGACATCCTGGCCCTGACACCGAAGGACAGCGGCGATGAGCAGCGTCAGCAGTACCAGTGTCTGGGGAGCCCCGAGGCGTATCATGGCTCACCGCTGGGCCTGGCAGAGCCGAGGCCGGGCAGAGCGCAGGTAGGCGGCAGGAGCACGGTGCGGGTCCAGGTCTTTACCGCTTCCTCATGCAGGAGACCTTCGGAGCGGAAAGAGGAGGCGAGAGACCCGGCAGCCCAGCAGCGCTCTGCGTCTTCTCGCTGACCCGGCGCCGGTTATATGCGCCCAGCCCCTCTCCACGCTGGCGAGCTCGCCCAAACCGCGGGCCGCCCCCGACCCCCGCCGTGCTGTAACCTGAGACCCCGCCCCCGGAGCCCGCTAGGGCCAAGCCAGAGGCGGCACCTGCCTAGGCCCGCACCCCCTCCCCCTTGAGCCCAGCTTCCCGCCCCCCACCACTAGTGTGCTGAGTGGTCTGATCGGGCGGGGCGCTGAGAAGGTCTCCGGTGCCCCCCACCAGGGACTGCGGGAAGGCGGAAAGGGGGGCCTCCGGCCCTCCCCTCGGAGTTTTGCCCAGGCTGGAGGGGCGGGGGCGGGGGCGAGGGGGGCTTGTTTGCAGAGGCTCAGGCCTCGAGCCCTCGACCAAGGATGGTAGAGAACACCAAGGCGGGCACCGCATAGGGCGCGTGAGCGGGGCGGGGGGATGGGGAATGGGGGGCCCTAGGAAGCTATTCAAAATCCTAAACCTTGGAGAGTGGCAAGCAGGGCCATATTTGGGGGGGTTGTCCCAACCTATTTTCTAACCCTTCCTATAGTACCTGCCCCTCGTTCCCCTAGGATCCCACCTGGAAATTCAGAGCGACAGTCTCCAACTCCCTCCCCCACCCCACCCCGAACACACACCACTATGCGATGAAAGAGTCTCCTCTGGAGCCTGGGCAGAAGTTGGCTGGAGCCGAAGGCCAGGAAAGGGGCCGATGTGTTACTGCACAGAAGGAGACCTGTGTGAAGGTGTAGGGGGCGGGGGTGGGGGGTGGGGGGAGGCCCTGGGAAGTGGGCTGGAGGAGCCGCAGAGGAGCGGAGGGAACTGAGACTAAACGGTGAGCCCTGCCGGGGTGGGGGACTGTCTAGTTCCAGGCTCAGACGTGGTGTCTGCTCTTCCTGGCCAGGGTCCGGGTGTCCCAGGGAGGGGAGTGGACGCTGCCGGCCGGGGCCGAGCAGCTCAGGCCAGGGACGGTTGGTCACTGCTGCCGCCCTGGCCGTGAAGCGAGGAAGGCTCTCCAGCTGGACAGAGTTTGTGAGTCGAAAAAGCAGCGCCAGAATTTCTTAGTTGTGCCCCCCTGGCCCTCTCCTTCCTGCTTCACCTCGCTTTCCCTGGTGAGCGCCCTCGGGCATCTTAAGCCAAACACTGCCTTCTCCCCACGGCTTAACTGAGGTCTTCTTTTGGCTCCTGGTGCCTCTTTTGATACTGGGGAAGAAAAGCCCCCAAACAGACCTTCTTCCTCTTGAGCTAGGTGGTTTTCTGTTCCTGGGGACTGTAGGAATCCCAAAGAACTTTAGGCAAAATGCAAGCTTTCATAAAACACAGAATTTGGGTCTAACTAAAACAGAACCATCCCTCCCCATAGAGCTTTCCTGCTAGACACTGGGTACACTTGAAAGAAGCAATATCCGCCCACCTGACCTCAACTTTCCTTAGGTGTCTATGCTGTTGCTTGTTTTCCTAGATCTAATGCTTCAAAAGCTTCTCAGATTAGAGACCCAAGTGCCTGGAGAGAATTACATGTCACACTTTGATGGAAATGTAGAAAAATTAAAACACTGGTTCTTAAGTCTCCATCTGCCATAGGCTTCCTTGGCTCTTTTCTTCCCATCCTCATGTTCAAGGGCTTGAAAGACAGCTTTTCCCCCAACACATGGTCTCTGCAAAAGCTGGTCTTCTCACACCCACAGAGACTCCTGTGCTCTTAGAGTCATGGCTCCTATCTTCTCCAGCTAGAAGGTAGAATAGCCATGTCCCACACATTGCTCAAGCCCTCTAGGTTAAAACATTTCTGAGA